TTCCACATGTATCGAATGTCAGTCCAGCCAGACGCTGGTCGCTGGTAGTTCTGCCGGAAACCGCCATATTAGTACCGGAATAAGCACCCCGTGTCGCGATCATCCAGAGAAATCTCATGGCTATAGTAGACGTGGCGCGGCGGGAGCTGACTCTCCGCGGCCCGACTCCTACTGGTAGCACAGAAGTCGTCGCTTGCGATCGTAATCGTAATCTCGTCCTAGAGATGTCTCAACATCCTGCCGCCGCCGCCGCCGCCGCCGCCAGCATTGCGCACCGCGCTCACGCGCCCGCCGCCATTGCTACAGTAACGGTCACAAACCGCCGTGCCGCAGCTGGAACTGCCTCGGGTTCTGCCGCGTCGCCGGCCTCCCTGGTGCTGCTACCGCCGCGCCCTAATAAGCGCGAGCAGCGCTCGCACGCTCCCGCCACTGCCGCGACTCGACCTATCTCTACGGCCAAAGGGAGTGTTATTGCCACTGCCAGCGGCACTACCAAAGTTTTTTCCACCACAACTAGCGCGGACAACCCCCGTTATCCGGGAAAACAGGGTAACCTCGCGAACCAAGGTAACCCAAACCTTGGCAACCCAAACCTTGGGAATCCCGGTGACGGCAGCAGGAGCTCCTCCTCCCCTGCAGAGCGCGCCTTCCGCGGCGTTTCCCCTATGAAGGCGCGGGGAAGGCGGCTGCGCGCGTCGCTGGGGGACAGCGCTCACCTCCGCTCGCTCGCTCGCCGCTCCGCCGCCGCTGCCCTGGCCGCCGCTGCGGACACCCCGCCTCCCGCGACTTGCGGAGACGAAGGGGGGAAGGTCGGGGAAGACGGGAAAGGTGGGGAGGTTGCGCGGAGGGATGGGCGGGAGGAGAAGCAGGATCATCCTGAGTCGGATCCGGAGGAGAGCTGTGTGGTGGGCCAGGGGTGTATTGCTCAGCACCTGTGGGTACAAGAACCGACCCACACGAGCATTTCGCCGATTTCGCATGGGCGAGTGAAAAGCGGCAGTGTCAGTAGTGGCAGCAGCGGTTACAGTGGGAATTATGTCGGCAACAGCAGCAGGAGTGAAAGCAGCAGCAGCAAGGGTGACAGCAGCAGCAGCAGGGGTCATCGCAGTGCGGAGTTCAGCCGGGTGACGTCTGGCCGTCCTCCGCTCCCATCGCCTCCCCTATCGCCATTCTCCCTCCTGCGCCTCTTACGACGGTCGGCCAGCGCATCAGAAACGAGAGACCGAGCCGCTTCTGCTGCTGCTGCTGTAGCAGCCACTTCAGCTGCTACTGCTGCTGCACCATCGTGTGCAGCAAGTGCGGCAAGTGCGGGATTTAGGGGATGTGCAGTATGCGATAGTGAGAGAGCAGGAAAGGGACCGCGTTTTATTATGAGAGCAGGAGTGAGCAGAGGCAGCAGCAGTGGTGGTGGTAGCAGTAGCAGCAGGAGAGGGAGCAGCAGCAGCAGCAGCAGCAGCAGCCATGCAGTTGCCAGTGCCAGTGACCACAAGAACAGCACCAGAAGCAGCAGCCACAGCAGAAAGCGTAGCACGTCTCATCCGAGAATATCAATTGTGGTCAGTTCTCCTACCACCGCTTGTGTTAATTCTATCACCGCCCCACCCATGCGGTTTCCTCCCCCCTCGGCTTCTGCTTTCGCAGCAGTAGCAGCTTCCCCCGAATCCCTCCTTCTCTTGGACCCTGCCACGTCACAGGTCCTTGCAGCCAGCTCAGCAGCTGCTGCAGCGCTGGGAATGACACGTGGCGAGTTGGAAGGAGTGCGGTTCGTAACTCTGCTGCATGGTGTGAAGGAAGACGCATGGGTGCAAGCGCTGCGAGCTGCAGTGCTGACTAAAAGCCTTGCAGACTCGGTCAGAAATGCTCTTGGCGACGGTAATGCAACACAATTCAGCAGCAGTGGGGCCGGTAGTGCTGGCGCTGCTAGCAGCAGTGGCGATGGTAACGGTGGCGCTGCCGGCTTTATTACTCTCAGGTCCGTTCCTTATTAGTCTGGCTTGCCTGTTTTCCTGCTTGGACTTTCTTCCTTGCTTCTCCTGCACCGCGCATCCCTCTGTTGCATGTCAGAGCCTAGTATTGTTCCGTTGTCACCCCTTGTTCCTCGAGGTCTCAGTGAGAAGAAATTCCTTCTTTCGCTACTCTGCAGGTTTCGCCTGGCTCATAGCAGCCGCCAGGGAGCTCTGGTGGGGGAGAGAGTGCGCCTGGATATCTGCCTGCCTCCCAGGCCCGCACTGCCATCCTGCACACCTGCTGCTGCTGCTGCTGCTGCCCCTGCTGCCGCTGGTGCTGCTGCTGTTGCTGCTGCTGCTGCTGCTGCTGCTGCTGCTGCTGCTGCGCCTGCTGCTGCTGCTGATTCTAGTCCTCCCAGTCCGTCTTCCTCCTCTGGCACTTGTGCCAGTGCAGCACCTGCTCCTGCTGCTCCTGCTGCTCGACATGCTGCTCAACGGCCCGCTCCCCCTGTGGCGTCGTGCTCTTCTCTCCATTCCCCTTGTGCGGCGCTGCTTTCAGCCCCTCTCCTCGCATCCTTGCATCCTGCTGCTGCTGGCGCGTCGTCTGCTGTGCTGTGCTCTCTGAGTCTGGCTGCATTTGAGAGAGCTATGGAGGATTGTGCGGGGGCGAATGGTGGGGTGAACAGTGAAGCTAGGGGTGGTGGAGTGGAAGGGAGTGGGGGCTGCAGGGGACCGAACAGGGTTGGTGTAGCAGCAGGGGAGGGAGAGGGGATGGGTGGAATGGTAACTGGGGTTGGTGCAGTGGTGGGTGAGGGCATGGAACAGCAGGGAGGCAGGTGTGCCACTGGAGAGACAGCAAGCTGCAGGGATGGGAGTGGCATTACCAGCAGCAGGAGCTGCAGAAGCATTTCCTGCACTGACGGCAGTAGCAGCACCGGCTCCAGCAGTGGCAGCCGCAGCCGCAGCAACAGCAACAGCAACAGCAGCAGCCTGGCTGATCTGAAGAGTAAAGGGGTGCGAACATGGTTCCACATGAGCAGTGCCGGCGACAGCATGAACAGTACTCGGAGGAGAACGGGCAGCTTGACGGGCAGGCAGGTGGATCTCTCCCCTCGATTCATTCATGACAGCCCGTCCCCTTCCCCCGATGCAACTCGCAGGGAAGGTGCTGTGAAAGGCAGGAGGGATGATGAGTGGGGCAAGAGAGGAATAGAGGGACGGGATGGTGAGTCTGTCGATGGATCAACTCAGAGAATGCACGGGAGAGGTGGAGGCATACCAGGCATGTGGCGAAAGGTTGTTGGGGAAAGGCAGCAAGGGAATAGGAAGGGAGAGGCCGGAAGGAGTGTGACCGGCGGTGCGTCTGACATCGTGCAGAACAGTATGCAAGCATCCTTGCAAGGTGCAGCCAGTGTTCTGCACCACAAGCAATATCTCGCTGATGGTAGAACTACGCTTTCAGCCATGCCACTTGCTAGAAGGGAAAAGCTGGCTGGTAGGAAAGGGGTTGATGTGACAAGGGTTTGGGAATACAGGGGTTCAGGAAGTGTGATCGGGACGAAACCATTGGTGTGCATTGAGAACTGGGCGGTCTTAGAGGAGAGTGTGGACGGAAACGACATGGAATGGTTTTCTTGACCTTGTTTACCGGTAATACCGTGCGTGAAATGTAGAGACATCCTCTGGTTTTGAAGGTCGTGCCATGCCACATTTACATGCCGTATCCATACTTGGCCTTACGGTATGTTGCTGTGTCAGTAGATTCCGTGTGGGGCTTGTTGGTACCGTAGATGCATTTGAGAGCGTGTTCCTATCCTCGTATCAAGATAACCTCGTATCAGGCTCACACTGAAAATTCCCCTAAACCCCAAACCTCTCGCTAGTTTTACCAGGCAAAAACAGCATTCTTGATACGAGGTTTCCTGATATGAGGCCGTAGGAACACGCTCTGAATGTGACTGCAGTCACAAGAGTCTCATTAGGCAAGGGTGACTCGTGTCTTGCACAGAAGTGTGAGATTATTGCAGTTGGAATGGGGTTTGCAAGATTTATTTTGTTAGCTATATCTTGCCTAGGGTGTGAGACCTTCAATGCACTCGTATTACAACCCATAACAAACATAGTCGCACCCTGCTTTATATAGTGATATTGGTTGTAAGTTCTTTGATTTGCTGTCTGTAAAGTGAATTAATTCATCAGCAAGTTCTTTGATTTGCTGCGACACAACGGACCAATTCACTCCTTGCTGCGACACGCGGCAACGTTGCTTGTGGGGCTGAGCTCCACAGTCGTGTCGCACAAGGAGCTATCCCTGGTTCGGAGTCTTGGTCTGGGAGACATGACAAGCAACCCATCATTGTCCGTGTCGGTTCCAGACCAGTGAAAGGCTTTTGTTTCCAGGCTTCCCAATTTTTGCGTCGTGGTTGGGGCGTTGTTGGCTGGTGTGCTCTGGGACCATCCACCAACATCACATCACGTCCATGCGTTCCCGGTGCGCTTTTCGCAGCGCAGTAAGGTGACGTTTCCCGCTGTCGCAGATTAGGCAAAATGTCTTGGGGGCTGTCACCACTTCAAGGGTCCCTTGTCGGACGAAATTGTCGCACGGGTACCAATTTCAGTCGTCGGGTCGCATTTCGCTCCACTGTGACGCCGCTGTTCTGTCAAGGCAGCCTTGTGCCTTGTTGCCAGTCACGAGCCAGGTTCGGGACAAGGCTGGGAGGGATGTATGTGTCACTGCGAAATCGACGGAAAAGCTGGGTTGCTTTGTTTTCGAAGCGCGAAATGTTTGTGCAATTTATGGTCGTGGCGCCAACGGACAGGGGATCGTAGTCAAGTAGGCAGGACGGACAACAATACTGGGGAGGGCTTTACACGAACAGATCACCTCGAAATTCCCTCTTGTCTATGTCGCTCGCTCTGCTTCTCGACTCCCACAAAGAAAACTCATTTCTAACAGCCGATCTGATTCTTTGAAACTTGTGCCTTTTCAAGCTAGTATTAACCATTAGTAGACATATCATTCTAGCAGCAACGTTTCCACTCCCGTCAACCGCCATGGCCACGATACGGCGGTGTCATCTATTCTACCTCCTCACAGCCGCAGCGCTCGTTGCGACAGCAATTGCAGGGAATCCGTCTACAACGTCCCCAGGCCCCGTCGCAGAGCAGCTCAATTCCGCCGGCTTCTCGGGATTCGTCAAGCTCCTCGAATCCGCTGATTTACTCCCCACGATCCACGACAAATTAAAGACGGGCGACATGACCCTCTTCGTCCCGACGAACGAGGCTCTCATGTATCAGATCTCCCCCGCGATGCTCGCTTTTCTGAAAGCCCCGCGGAATAAAGCCCTGCTCCGGCAGGTGCTGATGTTCCACATCGTCTCAGAGCACATTTCGGCGTTTCAGTGGGACGGCAAGCACACATCCATGGAGGGCTCTCCCGTGGAGCTGCGTATGGACGCGCTCGCGTTTTACGCGGCGAATAACCCGGTGAAGCAGTACAACGCGATCACGCTTGAAGAGGGCGCAGTGGTGCACTCGATCAAGGGGCTGCTCATTCCGCCAACAGCGGAGAGCTTGCTCGCTGACATTAAGAGCGACGCCGACCAGGAAGGGCGACGTATTCTTAGCGGCGGTGTGGCCGCTCCGCCGTCGTCTCCCCCGCCGCCTCCTCCCATCACTACCGTGCCCGTGACCGTCGAGGCTCCGCCGTTTCCTTCTCCGCCCCCTCCTCCGCCTTCTTACCCTGGCGGTCCCCCGATGAAGCCGTCAACGAGTGAGTCATTCCCTCACTTCCCCTCTACCACTCACTCTTTCCCCCCTTTCTGTCTGCACGCACTTTCTCTCCCGCTTTCTCGTCTTCCACCTCTTCCTCTCCCTTACTCGCTCATATGCTCGTTAAGCAAGGGTCTCATGTACGGGTTGGCCGTGCACCTGCAAAACTCTTGGGCGAAAGTGGGTACTTGGCGAGTCTCGATTGGACAAAACTTTGGCCCCAGATTTGTAAACCAATCAGACAGGCCCTTCTTTCATCGACTGCAAAGCACTTGGTCTACCCGTCTCTTTAGTTGCGTCACGGAACTACAGGAGCGTAATTGCTCCCATACTCACTGATATGCGCTCGCTCGACGCGTCAACTCGTATTTCGACATCTCTTGTCGCACCCTCTCATATCGCAAGTTGTGTGTTTTCGTCTCCCTTCGTCCGATGTGCAGGATTCACCGCCAGCGTCCAATGGATTACAACAATCGGGGGTGCCATGCTGCTGGCGCTACTTCTGTAGCCATGCTTTTCACCCCCTCGTGCTTAGGCCATTACGCTCCTGTAGTTGTGCGCGCTGTCGCCGCTTTCTGATTAGGAGACCAGTATGCCATGGCAGGATCTACTTGTTTATGGGGCAGCGGTACTATAGGGACGCAGGGAGCCCCATGGACACATACTAGGGCACTCGCAATTACACGGGCTCCCCTTCCCCATTTACTTAGCAATATTGACTTAGTTGAGTGAAAGCGTTCGGATTAATACGATTATTGTAGACTTCCCACGCTGCCAACAAGTATCTTACTGGAATCTGAATGACCAATTACACTCTTTCCTGTTGAAGGATGGACCTTCCTACTTCCACAAGGCCTAGAACAACATGGGATGGGGGTAACAAAGACATGTTTGTGGGAATGGGTGATCTTCAGGGCATTGTCCCCACTAGAAGATCATGCAGCTAAGGCAGATGCTACACCCATCAAGGGATGCGACTTCGATGAATACCTTCATATCAATACCACAGGCCGTCCCGTTTTTGGCTCACGAGGGACTACCCCCCTGTAGATGGCCATTGTATAAAACTCGTTAGACCACTCAGAACTTTCAAAAGCCGCCTACACATGGGGCTCTAAGTACAGAGCAGAAACAGTTTTGTAGTCCATCAACTGGTAGCAGAGCGTTTCAATGGAAGAATCATCTACAGTAATGTAGGTTCTAGGCTCATTCTAGAGCCAAAACCCATAATCTCTAGGATATTTGACCTAATCCTGCTTCTCAAGTCTCTATCTGACCCCAGCCGCAGCTTTATTTAGCTGCTGCAGCTGGAGGAGCAAGCGCGCCAACAGGAGGCGCGCCAAGAAGCCCCTGTTGACCTTCTAAATCCATCAGCTGCTGCTCGCGGTCCATCTCTATTATAAGCGGCACGCATAGGATTAAGAACGTCGTCCCCGCAATCCACGCCGCCTTTCCCGTGCTCCATAGTAGCTTCCGACCCACCAAGCTACCCCCTGAGGCCGCACGCTTCAGCCTCGCCGTTAGCCAGTGCTCCTGTGTCCGATGAGCCAGAGGAGCGGGAGGAAGGGAGTTGTAACGGGCAAGGGAGGGGGAAGACATCCGAAGGATAGATTAGGTGAAGATTTGGATTCAGAGATCGAAGCATGTGAAGGGAACATAATAGTTCATGGCATGCGAACATAATAGTTCGGACAGCTTCATACAGCATCTTAAACTTTAACGCCGAGGTTGACAAAAAGAGACAAGGACATATTTGCGATGAGTTTAGGGTTTCCGACAAGGTCAGATGCCTACAGCCAAAGGCCTCCTAACCTTGTCAAGGCAAGATCGGAAAGGATCCAGACTATACGTACCGCAACTACCAAAACTGGAATAATGACGAAACAAGATTACGACGCAGCATTCAATGACTATAGTTTTGATCCAGTACTGTAGGCCGCACCTGCTTGGCTGGTCCGGAAGATCCGATGGCTGCTGAAGTTCCTGGCATGGATGCGCTCTTCGTAAAGGAAGTGTGGATCACAGAGGATCAAAGGCTTTTATAATCTCCGATCAGAAAGCCTGTTCGGACAACAGCGGAGAAATAGTAGCGCCCTGGATTCTAGGGAAGTGTGGGTATTGAGGCTAGGGTCGCTTGACAGGAGAGCAAGCCCAACTAGGTGGAAGGTGGGAACTATCTGCAAGGTTGAGCACAAACTAGCTGTGGAGGGAATGTAGGGTGATGTTATTGCACAGATTTTGGCTGTAACACCTGAAGTGTAATAGCAGTAACATGAATCTTGGGAGCGGGGGATTGCGAAGAGTGGCAGCAGGTGGGACTCGCGGATTGGTTCTGATTCGCGGGAAAGGTGTACTGCTCTGTACAGTTGAACTCGAAGCATCACTCATAACTGTTCGTCACTTTGCTTGGTTGCTGCTGATTGAAAGCAAGTCGATTCAACCAAACACCAGTCCCTCCCTGGATCCATGGTGGATATCCATCTCAAACTTTCTCAAACGTACTATACCGAAGGCCTTCACTTCATGGCACTGTGTTGGGCATCCTGGAACTGCATTACATATCGGACAAAAATCCCACCCTAAAATACTGCACTTGCCTATTTCACCCTAGGGAACTGTGCGGTCTAAGACTGAGCGTCCACAGCCCCATCACAACGTTCATCCACATGAACTAACTTCGTTTATTGCGCATCGCGCCATTCTGAGAAATATATTTTTTTCTCTAGCGGGCGCGGGGACGCATTCCTACTCTCTCGCTTAGATCCTCAGTGCCTCGTGCCGCGTGCGAAGACCAGGCGGCATGTCGTGGTTCCGCTCCGCCCTTAATCGGGCGGCGGAGGCGGCGGGGGCTGGCGGAAGATCGGTTGCGCCGAATTTCGATCGCGTAAAGGCGTATGCGGGACACGTGGTGCAGCGCGCGGGAGATGCAGTTGCCGGCGGAGCGAAGATGGTCCTGGAACGCGCTGTGGTGAGACGTCCTCGTTATTATACGCTTCGGTACTCCGTACGGCGACCCTTTGCTGTACGGCGCAGCGCAATGCCGTGCAATGTTTATCCGTGCAATGTCGTTGGCCGTCCCTCCTTCGTGCCCGCAAGTGTCGATGTCAGTTCACATATGGTATCATTTTATTCGTATGAACTCGTTCAATCCCAGCCATTGGTAACTCAAGCCGTACAGCTCATAAAGACCGTCTCCCCAAGGCGCACGCTGGTCCTCTCCGTGCGAACTAGCACCTCCCTACTTCGTCCCGCTACTCCGTCTCTCAACCATCTGATCCGCTCTTCGGTCCTCTCTCGTCCTTCAGTTGACAACCATTATCCTGTCGTCTCCCCCCTTCCCCCCTCCCACCTCCACCCTCCCCTCCGTTTCCCCGCCATCCCTTCCCCCAGCCGGGGCGCAATCTCAACAACTTCCGCCACGCCGTGCGCCGATTGGACGAGGTCTCCCTCCTCGCGCGCGGGCGCGAACGGCGGGACGCGCTTGCGCGCTGGCTGGCTGCGCTCAAAGAGCTCTCCGACAACGATCACGCGGACGGGATGGCCTACGCGGAGGAGTTGGCGCAGGGCGCGCAGGCGGACGGCGCACAGGGGGAGGGCGCGCAGGGGGAAGACGTTCCCGCGCACATTCCCGGGGTGGACGCGCCCCCAGAGGCAACGTTAGGGGAAGGGGAAGGCGGAGGGATTGGGGGAGGCACGGGAGGGGATACCGGCGCGGGAGGAGGAGGGGGGAAAGAGGTGGGGGGGACAGGCGCGCGGAGGTTGCCGAGTCCGCGGGTGCAGGTGGGGAGTTTCAACAGTGGGCCTGGTGCGGCTAGTCCGAGGGCAAGAGCAGCGGAAGACGCTCCCAGTGTTGGATCGGTGAGATGAGAGAGATGGATTGGGGTGGGGTGGGGTGAGGTGGGGTGGGGTGCGGTGGGAGTGGGATGGGGTGGGGTGGGATGGGAGTGCGATGGGGTGCTCAGGAGCGCTTGCCTGCATGCGTGCGTGCTACTCATCCATCCATCCATGCCACCCCATTGTCCCAACCAACCAATCCGTTCTAGCCATGCATGCATACACATGCACCCTGCCCCCCTCCCCTCCTGCCCCACCCCACACACACATACACTCCCTCCCTACACACATGCACCCATCCCACCCACCCCCTCTTCCCCCTCTCCTCCCCTCCCTACGCACACATACTCTTTTTCACTGCGTGCTCGAGCATCAGTCGCCAGTGTCTCCCCTTCCCTCTCCCCCAATTCTTACCTTTCCTCCTATCAACCTTCGCATACCTCCTATTCCCTCCGCTTACCCCCCTCGTCTCCTCTCCCCCTCCCTGCCCCCACATAACCCCACACCCCCTTCCGAAATCCCTCTTCCCACTCCCTGCCTCCCCGCACCTTTCCTCTCCCTCCTTCCCTCATCGTCCCTGGCTCTCTCCCCTCCTTCTCCCTGCGCCACACACACACACCCTCTCTCTCTCTCTCTCTCTCTCTCTCTCTCTCCCTCTCTCTCTCTCTCTCTCTCTCTCTCTCTCTCTCTCTCTCTCGAACGGTCCTTCGTATTAGTATCATCAAGGTACAGACCTGGGTACTAAGCTAGTCTAAGCAATCAAACGACAAACAGGCAAGCCAACAACCAAGAAAACACACAAAGGTACCACTACTCATCCCACTCCTACCCCTTCTCCCCACGGCCCTACTGGCCTGTGGGGTCTTCCAGCAGCTGGTACAGCTGCTCCTCACCCAAGCTGCCAAACGGGCCTTGCAGGCCAAGCTCATCCGCGGCAATGGCCTCGTGGGTCTTGTCGCGAAGGGCATTGGCCTGGGCGCGCTGGAGTGTCACACTCCAGCGCTGACGGTACTCCGTAAGGAGCCTGGCCACCTCCCTTGACTTTGGCGCAGCGTTGAACCGCCGCTTGCCCGCGAGCTCGGCGCAGCTGCGGAGGAAGGCGTGCACTCCCGGGGACGGGTAGCCGTACGTCTCAACCGCCATGGCATGGAAGCCCACCCACGCGTTCCGCCGCGCGTACTTGTCTTCTTTCTTGGCGGCTTGCATCCTTGCAGCCCACCCAGGCGCCTTCCGCGCAAACTCGTCCTGGTGAGAGACCTGGTCCGTCACGGTGATGTCGCACATGTGGACTTCGCCGGTGTCGGGATGGCGGATGCAAACGTCCACTTTGAGGTTTTCGACCGGTGAGTACACTGTGGATTCCTTGTGCACCGTGTAGCCTGCCTCTGCTGCGATCTTCGCACACTCATCCCGAAGAGCATGGTGAGTGGCAATCCTCCCCCCGCCTTTCTCACAACGCATGAGGTGGTTGGGTAGGCGGTGGTCAGGGAAGGTCGTGCGGTGGCGGCAGTCGCAGCGCCGAGGGACGGGAAGGGGGAGGCCTCGGCGGAAGGAGGATGCAGTGGAGTGCTGCGAGGGGCCGAGGCGAAGAGCCGGGACCAGGGGGATGGCTAGCAGCCAATCTCCCGCCCCGGGGCCGAGGAGTGACTGCAGGCGTTGGGTGTGGCCGTAGAGCGGGTTCAGGGGCATCTCCCGCGAGGCATCGAGCACCTCAATATAGCGGGCTGTGTGGACGGCCAGCGACAGGGCCTGCTGTAGCTTCGGGCCATCCGTCCCGCGTCGGCCGGCCTGTAGAGCTTCTAGTCCATCTGGGGGCAGCGTGGCTTCTGCCGCTGCGAGGCGCCTTGGCAGGACCGAGGGTGAGTTCGCGTCTGCATCTAGTAGCGGCAGCATCTGGGCGATTGAGGGGTGCAACGTGTCGCCGAACGAGCGCAGCAGGTGGGCCGTGGAAATGACCGAGGCTAGGTAAGCGAACACCCCTTCCGTGGCTGGGTTGGTGATGCCGAGGCCGCCCAGCGTCACGGGCAGGGCGGCCTGCCGCCAGATTCTCCCCCGCTCTTCTTCCTCCCTGGGTATCGTCGTGTGTGCCGCCGTCAGGTAAGTGTGTAGCAGCTGCTCCCCCCACTCTGACCAGGTGTCCGCTGGCAACACCTCCAAGGGCGTCGTTCTGACGAGGTAGGAGGCGTGGCGGCTCACGCACCGTGTTAGGAGTAGCAGGCACAGCTGCGGGTCCATTTGTGACAGTAGCGGAAGTGGCTCTGCTGCTGCTGACAGGCGCTCCTGTACCAGCGCCGCGCATCCCGCCTGCGGGCCTATTGGGCTCCCCAGGACGCGGATCCCGTCCGCCGAGAAAGGTACATGCGGCGGAAGAGAGGCGGGGTCAATGTGCGCAGCCTCTCTCTCTCTCTCTCTCTCTCTCTCTCTCTCTCTCTCTCTCCCTCTCTCCCTCTCTCTCTCTCTCTCTCTCTCTCTCTCCCGCTCCCTCCCCTCTCAGGCTGATGAGGCGGAGTGAGTGACCCATCTCGGGGGCTGACTGGATGGTGCGTGACTCCTCTGTCAAGGCGTCGGCCTTTGCCGCGTGCACCTCCTGAGAGAGGGCGCGTTGCAGCTGGTCTTGGGACGGGGTTTGCTGCTCCTCCCGGAGGTTTTGTAGCGCCAGCGGTGGCAGGCGCCCCTCCATGTCCTGGATGGTTACCGAGTGCGCTGCGGACGGCTGCAGGGTGTTGTTGTTGGCCCCCAGTGCCGCGGTTGCTGGTAGGTCAAGGGAGCGGAGCAGTCGTAGCGCCTCCGTCGTTGATGGCAGGTAGGCCGGTGCTGCTTCTGTTGTGGGGTCTGTAAGTCCCAGCCCGCCCAGGGCGACTGGAAGAGTTGCTTGTCGGAGCAGGAAGTTGAACTCGGCTTCTCGGCGTGGCGGTTGAATGCTGGCGGCGGTCAAGGCCGTGTGCAGTAGTTCGGAGCACCATGTGTGCCATTCCGAGAGGGGTAAGACGTCTGCTGGGGTAGTGCGTAGCAGGTAGCCGATTCTGCGGCTGATGCAACGGGACAGTAGCAGGAGGGCATGTTGTGGGTGGATGGACGCCAGAGAACCCAAGGGGGCTGCCGCGTCTGTCAGGGTACTGCGGACAAAGGCAGAGCAGAAGCTCTGCGACCCCACAGGACTTCCCAACACCCGTACCCCCTCGTGGGTGTGGGGGAGGCCTTCAGGGAGCACGACACCTCCAAGCGGCATGGAGGACCACTCCGACGACTTCATAAAGTTGCAGGTGAGGCCATCCTGTGCTAGTAGCGGCGTGAGCTCCCTTAGCGCGTCTAGCGTCGCCGTCGCGGGTCCAATCATGGTTATGTCGTCTGCGTACGCGAGGACGGTGACTTCCGGGTGCTCCGCTGCCACGTGCCTGAGGTGCTGCTGGATAGACGCCGCGAGTAGCAGGGGTGCGAGGGGATCCCCCTGTGCGACTCCTCTTCCGCTGGTGAGTGCCGTGGAATTGAAGCGTGGAATTGAAGCGTGGAATTGAAGCGTGGAATTGAAGCATGGAATTGAAGCGTGGAATTGAAGCATGAGGTGGAATGCAGGGAATTGAAGCGTGGAATTGAAGCGTGGAATTGAAGCGTGGAATTGAAGCGTGGAATTGAAGCGTGGAATTGAAGCGTGGAATTGAAGCGTGGAATTGAAGCGTGGAATTGAAGCGTGGAATTGAAGCGTGGAATTGAAGCGTGGAATTGAAGCGTGGAATTGAAGCGTGGAATTGAAGCGTGGAATTGAAGCGTGGAATTGAAGCGTGGAATTGAAGCGTGGAATTGAAGCGTGGAATTGAAGCGTGGAATTGAAGCGTGGAATTGAAGCGTGGAATTGAAGCGTGGAATTGAAGCGTGGAATTGAAGCGTGGAATTGAAGCGTGGAATTGAAGCGTGGAATTGAAGCGTGGAATTGAAGCGTGGAATTGAAAGCGTGGAATTGAAGCGTGGAATTGAAGCGTGGAATTGAAGCGTGGAATTGAAGCGTGGAATTGAAGGCGTGGAATTGAAGCGTGGAATTGAAGCGTGGAATTGAAGCGTGGATTGAAGCGTGGAATTGAAGCTTGGAATTGAAGCGTGGAATTGAAGCGTGAATTGAAAGCGTGGAATTGAAGCGTGGAATTGAAGCGTTGGAATTGAAGCGTGGAATTGAAGCGTGGAATTGAAGCGTGGAATTGAAGCGTGGAATTGAAGCGTGGAATTGAAGCGTGGAATTGAAGCGTGGAATTGAAGCGTGGAATTGAAGCGTGGAATTGAAGCGTGGAATTGAAGCGTGGAATTGAAGCGTGGAATTGAAGTCGTGGAATTGAAGCTTGGATTGAAGCTTGGATTGAAGCGTGGAATTGAAGCGTGGAATTGAAGCGTGGAATTGAAGCGTGGAATTGAAGCGTGGAATTGAAGCGTGGAATTGAAGCGTGGAATTGAAGCGTGGAATTGAAGCGTGGAATTGAAGCGTGGAATTGAAGCGTGGAATTGAAGCATGGAATTGAAGCGTGGAATTGAAGCATGGAATTGAAGCGTGGAATTGAAGCGTGGAATTGAAGCATGGAATTGAAGCGTGGAATTGAAGCGTGGAATTGAAGCGTGGAATTGAAGCATGGAATTGAAGCATGGAATTGAAGCATGGAATTGAAGCATGGAATTGAAGCGTGGAATTGAAGCGTGGAATTGAAGCGTGGAATTGAAGCGTGGAATTGAAGCATGGAATTGAAGCGTGGAATTGAAGCGTGGAATTGAAGCGTGGAATTGAAGCGTGGAATTGAAGCGTGGAATTGAAGCGTGGAATTGAAGCGTGGAATTGAAGCGTGGAATTGAAGCGTGGAATTGAAGCGTGGAATTGAAGCGTGGAATTGAAGCGTGGAATTGAAGCGTGGAATTGAAGCGTGGAATTGAAGCGTGGAATTGAAGCGTGGAATTGAAGCATGGAATTGAAGCGTGGAATTGAAGCGTGGAATTGAAGCATGGAATTGAAGCGTGGAATTGAAGCATGGAATTGAAGCGTGGAATTGAAGCGTGGAATTGAAGCATGGAATTGAAGCGTGGAATTGAAGCGTGGAATTGAAGCGTGGAATTGAAGCATGGAATTGAAGCATGGAATTGAAGCATGGAATTGAAGCGTGGAATTGAAGCGTGGAATTGAAGCATGGAATTGAAGCGTGGAATTGAAGCGTGGAATTGAAGCGTGGAATTGAAGCGTGGAATTGAAGCATGGAATTGAAGCGTGGAATTGAAGCGTGGAATTGAAGCATGGAATTGAAGCGTGGAATTGAAGCATGGAATTGAAGCGTGGAATTGAAGCATGGGTCCAGCAGCAGCGCTCATGCTCATGCGTGTGAAGGGGATCTCTCTCTCTCTCTCTCTCTCTCTCCCTCTCTCTCTCTCTCTCTCTCTCTCTCTCTCTCTCTCTCTCTCTCTCTCTCTCTCTCTCTCTCTCTCTCTCTCTCACCGGCGCCCGTGCGTCAAGTTCTGTTCCATGATGAGGCCAATCCCGGAGTGATCTTCAAGTCAAACTAAAAGGTCACCCTACTCCTCTCCCCTCCCCCCCATGCCACACCACACCCTCCCTCTCTCTCTCACCTGTGCCCGTGTGGCGTGCATCAGGTGTTATTCCACGATGCGGCCAATCCCGGCGTGCCGCTCACCTTCAGGGATGTCTTCCTGTGCAGCAAAGCCCTTGAGAACATCGTCGTCTCCTTTGTGAGTCACGGCGCTGCTGCTGCGTGAGTGAGTTCGGGGGGGTTGCTATGAGTGAGTGAGGGTGCTGCTGCGATCAAGTCAGGGCGAGTGAGTTAATGATCGAGCCAAAGATTCGTGGGCGCCTTAAGGTTAGTTAGAAAGGGTTTAATCAATGGATGCCGGCTGGATGGAAAGATGGGTAAATGGTTGGAGGGAGGGAGGGATATAGCCAGGCCCATGGTGATCCACATGATATGATCTCTATGTATTGATGGTACCATGATATGATGGTACCATGATATGATGGTACCGGACTCTCTGATTTTTCTCCCATGTCCTTGTTCGTGTGTGCACGTGCACCCCTTGTGCAGATAATGGAGCCACCATCCCCCCAGGAGGAGCAGATGCTGGCAGACATGTTCGAGTGAGTGAGCACACGGGCAAGTGGGCGGATAGAGAGTGAGAGAGGTTGAGAGAGAGCGAGAGTGGGAGAGATTGGGGACTGGGCTGGAAGAGAGTGTCGCTGCTGCCACCACGAGTGTGAGGAGAGCGGGCTCACGCACACACACTCACACTCGCACAGTCATCACGTGCAGCTTGCAGCCTCCCAACCAACCCATCATGTTCTCATGCTTTTGGGGATTTCGTCTCCCTTCTGCTCTTCTTACTTCCCCATCCCGTTTCTAACGTAGCTTCTACCCCCTCCTCTCCCTTATCCTCCATCCACTTCTTCCCCCTTCCCCTTCCACCCCACCCCCTCCACCCCCTCTTCCACCCTCGCATGTCCTCCCTCTCCCATCCCACATGGCCCACCCTCCCTGCCGACCCTCCATCCCCCAACCTCCATGCCCCACCCTACCTGCGCTGACCATGCCGTGTGCGCCAGTCTGTGTCTATCAGGCGACCATCAGCTGCACTCATCGCTCCTCAACGCCATCACACAGCTCTCCAACTCCTTCTCCTCCTACTCCGAGGTCAAGGTCAGTCACTTCTCTTCTAGCTCCCTGCTAGCTCTTGACGGCCCTTACATTGCTTTTGACAGCCCTTACACTACACTCAACGATCTGCCGCGCTCCCCCACTCTCCTCCCTCCGTCATCCTTGCTTCGTCCATTCCCCAAGCCCCATGCCCTATGTGTGTACTTGTGTGCACGTGTGCCCTGCAGATGAGTCGGAAGGAGTTGCTGCGAATGGCGTCTGATGCAGTGGCAGGGCTGAAGCTCGACGCACAGCTGCAGAGGTGGGCAGTGGGCAGTGGGTAGTGGGCAGTGGGCAGTGGGTAGTGGGCAGTGGGTAGTGGGCAGTGGGTAGTGGGTAGTGGGCAGTGGGTAGTGGGAAGTGGGTAGTGGGTAGTGGATAGTGGGTTGTGGGTAGTGGGCGCCACAAGAAGGGGAGCATGCAGGTTTGGAATGGGGGATTGGGTTACTCTTGAAAGGAGTGTGTGCTGTGCTCGTCTTCTGCCTCTTAATTCCCCCCCCTTCATCTGCCCCTTCATCTGCCCCTTCATCTGCCCCTTTATCTGCCCCATCATCTGCCCCTTCATCTGCCCCTTCATCTGCCCCTTCATCTGCCCCTTCATCTGCCTGCCCCTTCATCCACCCTTCCTCTGCCGTTTTCCTGCCTGCCATCCGTCTGCCCTTTCCGCCCACCCCTTCCCCTGTTCATGTCCCCTCGGTCGTGGTAACACTGTGATGCTGTAACACAGGCTGGAGGCGGAGGAGGAGAGGATAAAGCAGGTCATGGATGAGAAGATGGAGACTCTTTCGCTTCGTTCCCTCCGCCGCTCCCTCCCCCGCTCCCTCTCCCACTCCTGTCCCCGCCCTCCTTCTCCTTACTTGTGACCTTTCTGCTCACCCTGACGCTGTGATGCAGGCTGGAGGCGGAGGAGGAGAGGATAAAGCAGCTCATGGATGAGAAGATGGAGACTCTTTCGCTTCGCTCCCTCTCCCGCTCGCTCTCCCACTCGCTCTCCCACTCCTCTCCCCGTCCTCCTCCTTCCCCTGCTGCTGCCGCCTCTGCCGCTACTGCTCCCTCTGCTGGTGCTGCTGCCGCAGCCGCTACTGCTGCCGCTGCCGCGACCACTGCTGGTAGTGGTGGTGGTGGTGATGGTGGTGGTGATGGTGATGGTGAGGGTGAGGGTGTTGCTCCCCCTGACGTTTCAGAGCTGTTCGGTTCCAAGCCTGCTCAGCCTAGGAAAGCGGAAGGGACAGGGGAAGAGAACGCAGGAAGGGTGGAGGGCGAGGAGGGGAGTACGGAAGGAGGTGGCGGGAAGGGGGAGGAGATTGGGAAGGGCGGGACGGGAGCGGATGCTGGGAGGGATGGAGAGGAAGGGGAGGAGTCAGAGCAAGGGGATGGGACAAGAGAGAGTCTGCAGATACCGCAAAAGTACTCTGTGGTATGTGTTTAGGATCTGACATGTAGTGAGCATGGCACACCAACGGCCAGCCCCCCCCCCCCACCTGTTCGTCAGCACTGTTCCTTCCTACATCCCCTCTCTCTTCCACACCGCCATCCCCCCCTCCCGCGCTCCCCCCAAGTCTCCTCCTCCAACTGCAATTTGCACTGAGGCCCAAGCCATGGGAGTCAACTTTTGAGTCGACTCCAAAGCCACTGAGGCCCAAGCCATGGGAGTCAACTTTTGAGTCGACTCCAAAGCCACTGAGGCCCAAGCCATGGGAGTCACTTAAAGCTCTCCATCTCATCCCCTCCCTTCTTTAGTTTCCCACCCCCCCTATTTCGCACCCTTCCCCGTTATCCCCTCTCGGCCTTCCCCCCCCCCCCACCCCCCCCCCCCCCCCCTTCTCTCCCCTTATGCGCCCTCTTCCTTGCCCCGCTCTCCCCCAACCAAACCCAGGACGTGCAGGCGACAGAGGCGCTGTTCTCGCTGGCAGCAGCGCTGGCGTCCGTGGTGCGGCGCAAGGAGCAGCTGCGCCACCGGGGGGACAGCGCTGCCGCTCGAATGGTGAAGGTGCGTGCGTGCGTGCTTGCGTGCGGCACTGACACTGACACTGGCAGGGCCGCAGGGGAGGGGGCGGTTCTGGGTGCTGGCGTGGAGGGCTGGGCTGGGGTTGGAGTGCTGGGGTGTAATGTGTCTGCTTTTGAGTTGATTCAAAAGGAGGAAGCGGTTCTGGGTGCTGGAGTGGAGGGCTGGGCTGGGGTTGGAGTGCTGGGGTGTAATGTGTCTGCTTTTGAGTTGATTCAAAAGGAGGAAGCGGTTCTGGGTGCTGGCGTGGTGGGCTGGGGTTGGATTGGAGTGCTGGGGTGGAGTTGGAATCGACTGGGAACGATTCCTGAGTTGACTTGGAGTGGAATATTCTGATACGAGTGAGTCTAAAAATGCTCCGTTGCCAGGATGTGCGCAGCGCTGCTCTCCTGGGCCCTTGACTCGTGACTCGTGACTGATTGCCTGTCAAGCAGCCTGCCTGAAGTCCTGCCCTGTCACCCTGTTATGTGTATCATCCCGGCTCTTGTTTTCTCTCAATCTCCTGCACCTTGTTGTGGCACTTCTCATCACCTCCTTCTCGTTTCCTCCTTCCATTCGCCTCCTTTCCGTCACCTCCTTCCTTACCTCCTTTGCTTCTCGTCTTGTTCCTTCACTCTCGTCCCACCTCTGCGTCAATACATCTCGCCAAGAAACGTGCAAGTCGTCATATGCTGGCAGAACTCGCAGCACAATCTCTTCTCCCTCATCTTTCCTTCCCCTCCCCTCCCCTCCCCTCCCCTCCCCTCCCCTCCCCTCCCCTCCCCTTCGCTCCGCTCCCCTCCCCTCCCCTCCCCTCCCCTCCCCTCCCCTCCCCTCCCCTCCCCTCCCCTCCCCTCCCCTCCCCTCCCCATCCCCTTCAACTCCCAACTGCCTCTCTGGTGGAGCGCACGAGGGAGTTTTTGAGTCGACTAAAACATCCTTTATTCCCCTCCCCTCGCCTCCCCGTCTCCTTGAAACCCCCTTCACATCCCAACCTCCTGGCAGGTGGAGCGCACGAGGGAGCTAGCAGCCGAGCTGGCTAATTTCATGGACGACTTTGAGGCCAAGATCGCAGAATGCAGGTGATTGCAACAGAGGGCAGGTGATTGCAACAGAGGGCAGGTGAATGCAACAGAGGGCAGGTGATTGCAACAGAGGGCAGGTGACTAGAACATAGGGCAGGTGATTGCAACAGAGGGCAGGTGATTGGAACAGAGGGCAGGTGATTGCAACAGAGGGCAGTTGGATTCAAAAGAAAGCAGCTGAATCTGAGAGCAACAGACGGGGCAATATAGAGGAATGGTGAAGCCATCGAAAGGTAGCCTATAGAGAAGGCACGAAAGGAAGGGATAGAAATCACATTGGTCACGTGTGTAACCCTTAAAAATTGTTGCTTTTCCTTGTGCTCTCGCTGTGACGAATCACACCTACTCTTCCTTCCCTCCCCCACCCTTCCCCCCCCCTCCCCCGTGCAGGCAGCAGCGGCAGGAGGCAGTGACGTACCGCACGAGCAAGGAGGAGGAGGTGATGGAAGTAGAGAAAGGGATCACAGACGAGCTGCAGGCGCTGCACCAGCGGCGCAGGGAGATCGAAGAGCAGCTCAAGGAGGTGCGTGCGTGTGTGCGTGGGGTTTTTTTGGGCGTTCTCTGGTTTTTTGTTTTGTTTTTGTTTTTTTGTTTTTTTTTTTGTGTTTTTTTTATCTCTGCTTGGTGTTGAGAACCCTCAAGAAACAGCGAGCTGCAGGTGCTGCACCAGAGGTGCAGGGAGAGAGATAGAAGAGCAGCTCAAGGAGGTGCGTGCGTGTGTGGGGGGTTGTACTTTTGAAGGAGATGGATGGATGGAGGTGAGGAGGCAGGGCGATGGAGGTGAGAAAAGGAAACACACACAAAGTAGAGACTTGAGCATGTTGCGAATGCGCGTCCTGAAATGAATCTCTCTAGCGACGAAACGGCTTCGGGTGTGGTTGTCAAGAACCACTCGACAATCCTCCTCCTACAAACCCTTTCTCCCTGCCCACCCACCCCTCCCCCTACCCCGCCGCCCTTCACCCGCTGTCATCCTCCTCCCGCTCTCCTCCTCCTCTCCCACTGGTGCAGGTGGACGATGCGATAGCAGCAACGACGCGGAGGCACATCCAGATGCAGGAGGAGAAGGAGCAGTTTGACTTGGCCAGCAATGGGCTGCTGGGCTCGCTGGAGGCCGAGGTGAGCGTGAGCGTGAGCGTGCTCGGGTCAGGTGATTGTGCTCTTGTGGGTTCAGGCTTCTTTTGGTCAGTTCAGGTGGGATCAGGTGGGCTCAGGTGGGTTCAGGTGGGCTCAGGTGGGTTCAGGTCGGCTTAGGTAGGCTCAGGTGGGTGCAGGAGGAGAAGGAGCAGTTCGATTTGGCCAGCCATGGGCTGCTGGGCTCGCTGGACGCTGAGGTGAGCGGACTGTGTTCAGGTGGGCACGGATGGGCTCAAGTCGGTTCAGGTGGTTTCAGGTGGTCTGCCATGCTATGCCATGCCCTACCTATGTGCACCACCAGGAGGAGCATCTGAACACGATGAAGCAGCAGGAGCAGAGGTGAGGTGAATTCGCGTTGACTGGAAATGCAAACGCCATGCCTTGCTATGTCTGTGTGCGTACGCATGACCAGGAGGAGCATCTGAACACGATGCAGCAGCAGCACCAGCAGGACGCCAAGACGCTGTTCGGCTGGATGGGCTTCCTGGAAGATTCCTGGAAGATGCAGCTTCTCTACATGGAGAGCAAGGACCAGACCTTTAAGTACGTCACTTAGCATCGCCTTTAGTGGTCTGTCTGTCACTCTTGCCTCTCTTCTTTGCTGCTGCTATGTCCCTCTTCATCCCTGTCTTTCTCTCCCCCTCTCCCTCTCTCCCCTTCCCCTTCTCTCCGTCTTTACCTCTTGTTCCCTCACCAACCACTTCCTCTCTCCCCGTCCCCCACCCCCTGTCCTTCCCCTCATCCACCTCTGGCCCCACCTCAGGCAATCCCTGGCGGACCTGTCGTCACGTCTGAGGACCATAGCTGCTCCGCATCTACTCGTGTGCATGGTACGTGCACGCCTGCACTTCCTGCCTCTGCCCTCTGCCACACTGGCATGATTGCGTGCCAAGCATGCGTGCTGGGGGAGGGAAATATGTTGCAGCACGTGTTTTTTTTTTTTAGAATTCTCAAAAAACCCCCCAGCCCCAAGTCCAAAGTCCTTGGACACCTTCTTACCTTAAGGGACTGGGGGACTTCCCTCACTTTGTGTTGTTGGCAGCTGCGAAGTAGAGCTGGCCTGTCTTGATGTGTCACACTGTTGAAGATAGGCCTGAGGAAATAGTCGGGGTATCCTCTGGCCTTCAACCTCTCAAAGAAGAGGACTTTCCTCTCCCAAAAGGTCTTGATCGATGAGTTCCGTAGGCAGTGACGTTTCAGCTCACTCGTGATGAATCCTCTCTTACACTCCTTTGAGTGAAAGGAGGAAAAGGGGATGTACAGATACCGATTCATCGGTTTCTGAAAGCTGGCCACATCCAGAATTCTGGAGTTGTGGAAGCGAACCCCTTTGTAGAACTGAAGGTCGAGGAAGTCAATCCTTTCCTCGCTGATTTCCCACGTCAGCTTGATCGTGGGCCGAAGGGAGTTGAAAGCTCCTAAGAATCCCTGGAGAGTCTCTACACTCCCCTCCCAAAGAATGAACCCATCGTCTATGTATCTAACATGGCAAAGCGGCTCTATGGTCACCTTCCGCGTCAACTCCTCATCCAGCCAGCTCATATAAAGGATGGCGAAGACAGGAGCGACCGGGGTTCCCATTGCCGTACCTCTAACCTGTTTATACACAATATCATCAAATTGTACATAAGAATTGCACATCACCCACCTAAGAAGAGAAACCTCGCTTTCAGAAACGGGGATACACCAACCCCGTGAGTTGATGGGATTGAATTGATCCCACCAACCTGCATGCTTGATTGACATTGTAAATTTTGTACAGCCAGCTAGCGAGCCGCGATGACGAGCCGCACTGGACTTCTTGGTTCTTGGTTGAGTGCTGGGCACGGTAGATGGGAGTAGATAAGGAGTAGTTTCTTTCATGTAACTCTGAGAGCGCTGATGAAGGCCACCGGCCGAAACGCGCGTACGCTCAGGTTTGAATGAAAATTCTCTTACCTATTCAATCCCTACTAGCCTAAGCTCAGCCTAGAGGAGATTAGGAGGAGATAAGGACGAGTTACCTGTTGGATCCAGGTCGAAACTGCTTTGCTATGCTACAAGCATGCGCGCTGGCTGGCTGCCACGAATGCATGCTTGTGTGCTGGTTGGCATGCTTGCATGTGGTGGCCATGCCCATATGTCAAGTGCTCTTTCCATCTGACCACTTCGTAAGTCAGTGTGTCTCCTCCTCTCCTCTTTTTTCACCTCCTCTCCTCTCCAATCCTTTCCTGTTTTCTCCTCCCCGTTCCCGTTCTGCTCCATTCTCCTGTTATCCAATCCCTTTTACCGTTCTCGTTACTTGACCGATCCATTATGTTTTCCTCTCCAATCCACTCCTCCTCTCCTCCTCCTCTCCTCATCCTCCTCCTCTTCTTCTTCCTCCTCCTCTTCCTCCTCCTTCCCCCACCATCAGGGCAACATGAGGGCATCGCTCACAGCGCTACAAGCAGCGGCCTCTTCTCTCTCAGCCATTGACACAACCCCGTGAGTGCACTCCTCCTTGCCTTGCACCCCCTCTGTATGCTCGCCTTCCCTTGCACTCCCTTGCATCCTCCTGCACCTGCCATTTGCGTCCTTGCGCATCTCTTCACGATCCCCTCAACCCTTCTCACAGCTCTTACTCCGTCCTATTGCTCTCCCATCCCCCTTCCGTTCCCTTCCCATCTGATCTTACCTCCCTCCGTGCTAATTCCACCACACCTCTTCCCTCTCCTCCCTGCTTCCCATCCCAAGTTCGTCTGAACTGAACACCACCTCCCCTCGCACCCCATCAGCACTCATTTTGCTCCCCCCCCCTTCACCCACCCCCTCAAAGCTCCTGCCAAGGGGTGAGACGCCTCAAAAGTTATCCCCACTTCCTCCTTTCGTTGGCAGGAGTGAGGACGAAGGGGGTGCAAAGCTGCTGCCAACGACTGGCGGCGAGCGCATGAGAGCAGAAGAGAAATACCTACAAGCAGAATCACAGGTGCGATGTTTTCTCCTCGGAAATGTCTCAAAACGGGCGCTGATTCTCCACACAATCTCGCCCCTTCACAATTTTCCTCCCTCGCTCTTTCCCTCCTCACTCTCTCTCACTTCCACTCTAGGTTGCTCTGTGCACTATCTCTGCTGTATATCTTCCCCTTTTTCCACCCACACTGTAGGTTTATCCTTTTCCCCCTCTTAATGTGGTGTGTGGCAACCTCAACTCAGCCCAACCGTGCTCCAGCTTATCTAGCTTATCCGCCTATACCCCGCTCCCTCTGCCTTGCTGTTCTATTCCATGGTGAGCCTACCACTTTTTCCTTCCCCGCTTGCTGCTGACCACTTCCCGGCTTCCTCCCCCCCATCCTCTCCCCTTCCTCTTCCACCTCCCTGTCCCACCGAATGCTCTCAGATGAAGCGAGCAGTGGCGATGGCAGATAAAGCACGGGCTGAGTGGGAGCATCTCAACTCTCTGCCCCTGTAAGAACCTTCTCTTCACCCCTCTTCGAATCTCATCTCATCTCATCTCATCTCATCTCATCTCATCTCATCTCATCTCATATTTTCTCGTAGTATCTCGTCTCACTGCAACTCAGGTTGTGAGATCATTCTTGCCATTACCTGCCACCTGCCTTTTGGCTCCACCCCTTTCTTTTGCACTTGCAAAGGGAAGAAGCTGATATGGTTTTATTATTATTATTATCTTTATTATTATTATTATTATTATTGACAGAAAAGCTGCTCTTTAGGGATAAAATATTCTCTTATTGCTGCATGCCTCCCGTTCCTATGCCATCTCACTTTCAATTCTCTTTTTCTTGTCTTCTCGTCATTTTGCCTCCCTTCCATTCTCTTTCTCTTCTCTTTCCCTCACGCCTTTCCTCTTGCCACCTCGCCTCGCTCGCTTCTCCCTTCCCCACTGCAGGTTCCCAGAGGGCAGTGACGACCCTGACCACAGGCAGCTAGCACAAGCCCTCCAAGACATGGAAACCATGAAGCTAGAGCTCCTAGGCTTGCCGACACCCACCCTCCTTTATCACTCCCACCACTCCTACCACCATCACCACCAACAACAGCAGCACTTCAACAGATCACGTGACCAGCAGCAATCCGCATCGCCCTCCTCCTCATTCTCCCCGTCTGTTTCCCTCCCTCCCACCTACCGCCGCTCCTCTCCGTCCTCCCACTGGCCCGGGGCGGCCATGGCTGCTGGAATGCGTTCCTTCAATCTCGGAGCTTCTCTGTCTAATCCTCTCTCGGGTAGTCTCAGCAGCCCCAGCTCCAGTTCCCGCTCTCCCCGAACCTCTGACTTTGGCCGGTCTGCCTCTGCTTCGTCTGACGGCCTGGGAAGGACAGGTTCGGACCGGACCGGCCATCAAATGTCGCGGCACGAGAGTCTCTTTGGTTCCATGCTTGGTTCGGTGGGCGGTGACCATCAGCAGGATCGGCCGAAGCTGAGCCAGCGAATGGCTGCAGCAGCAGCTAGGGCTGCTGCGGTGGCAGCATCGGCGGCAGGGAACTTGAGCAGCAGTGCTGCTGCTGCAGCTGCAGGTGTGGGCGTTGGCATTGGTGGTGGTACTGGCGGTGGTGGTGAAGACGAGTTTGGCGGGGAGAGGGATGGAAGGGTTAGTGTTGTTCAGGAGGATGAGTAAGCTACCTAGGTTGGCAAGAGGTTGAGAAAGTAACGAAGATGCAGGAGTTGTGTGGGACAAAGGGGAAAGGGAGAGAAGGTGTGGGGAAGTGGGGAGTGAGGAAACGTGGAGGGTTGATTTCATGTGTTATAAATCGCTCTTGAATGACCCATGGATATGTATACTATGCTTTCACATAAACATGACTTCACAGTACTCACAATTGGAGTGCATGGAGCTTTGACATATATTGTAAGGAAAAACCCTTTTCCTTACAGGGGTTTACTCAACCGCGTACAACCCCAACTTTCGGAAGTGCACGTTCGGCCACTTCGCTTGCTGCCGAAGCAACCTCGCGTCGCCTTCGGCCTTTCCTTTGCCCAACCTGCACCCAACCTCGTGTTCCCGAGGTTCCCGCCTAGCTAGGTTGGTCCACTATATTAGTGCGTGCCTTCATTGTATTGTCAGTTCATTGAGTCACATCTTCGTTATTCGTTATTCCGCGCACTCTCTTTTACAACTCATAACACCTGGTATCAGAGCTACTTTCCTAGTTCACCCCGCTTTTCGAGGGTAGTTTGGTGGCACGGGTGTGGTCGGTATAGTGGACTACACGACGGTTGGCTGCAAGGTTTGTTAATTCAATCCTGCCCGACTCCGATAGTTCGTGTTTTCCACTCACCGGAGGGCCACGGATACCCCTCTGCCTACCAGACGAAGCGTGCGACTCATGGACCAGGAGACATTGAACAAGATGCTGGCGCAAATGGCAGAGCTACAGGCAACAGTGAAGACTCAATCAGCAGAAGTGACAACACTACGAGGAGAAAACGCCGAGCTACGCCAGACGCGAGGTGAAGCGCGTCAGGAGTCGCCCGATGAAGAAGGCGAGGGCAACAGTCAAGCGGTGAGCAACCTGTTGGACGCGCTCACGCGCGATTTCGAAGAAGAGGATAGGCAGCGAGCGGCAGCGATGCCAATTGCAGTAACGACGATCAAGATTAAACCCGTCAACCCGCCCCAGTTCAACCCTACGGACAAGACTACTACAGTGAAGGGGTGGCTTTTCGGCGTTGAAGTCTTCTTCACTGCAGCAGGCGTGAACGACGATGCCACGCGTATTAATTACGCGGTTTCGCTTCTTCGAGGCGCAGCGCTTGAGTGGTGGCGCCAAACCTTGGACACGGGGACCCCGACAGGTGTGACACATGCGGCAGACGGGACTTCAACGACGGTTACTCAAGTGGCAGCACCGATATTCGGCGTGACCAAGATACGCACGTGGAAGGAGTGGGGCGCAGCCTTACGAGATCGCTTCGAGCACATATCCGGCTCGGAACAAGCTCGCATGAAGCTGCGTACCTGGTCGCAGTTGGCATCTGTCCAAGACTACACAGCAAATTTCATGGCCCTCGCCGACCAAGTGGACGACATGTCGGAAGCGGAGCGGTTAGACAAGTACGTCAGCGGCCTTAAATACGAGATACAGTATGAGGTGCGCTGATGCCGCCCGACATCGTTCCTGGAAGCAGCACGGTTAGCAGAATCCACGGACGCGCTGATGCAGTACGCGAGGTCGAGTTTCCGGGAGGGAAATCGTTTTCGCGGCCAGACCCAACGGGCCACGATCAACGGAGTCCATGCACCAGACCGCCCCTACACAGGGTTGTGTTATAAGTGCGGGAAGCCGGGTCACAAATATGCAGACTGCCCCGAGAGAACGCCGGCGAAGAGGAACGACGGGAAAGAGCCGGGAAATGGGAAGAGTCAGTAACAGAAGGGCCCCTTACTGACTGTGCTCTGTCGCCCTAACACCATCATCCCCACCGAGTCGTGGTTCCGATTCATGCAATCGATCGCACTCGGCCGAATAACGGGGATAACCATGTGGATCACCCTGTGCTGGTCGTTGGCAAAGTGTTAAAAAACTACTTGAAAATGTTCGTCGACGGAGGGGCCAGCCATAGCCTCTTCAACTTGGCGACAGCAAAAAAATGCAAGCTGCAACTTGACAGGTGTCTGCCCAAAATCGACGCTCGCCTCGTGGATGGGACGCCTCTGGCGATTTTGGAAGAAACACGGACGGTGCGGATCGAATGCGGCGACGATTTCGGCTTCAGCATGAAGTTTCTCGCGACAACGTTGGACGGCTGCGACGTGCTGCTGGGACGTGATTGGCTGCGACGGCACAACCCCGTCATCGACTGGACAACGGGATCGTGCAGCATCAGCAAGCACGAGGGGCTCATTAAATTGCCTGCATGGACACCTGACTACATCGAAGCCCCGTGCGTCAAAGCTATCACTATTGCTCGCCACTTCAACCGAGGCGCGCAGCTGTTCGCCGTATGTTTGCGCGAGGTGGCAACCGACACCGACGGAAAGGACATCGAGAAGATGTGCGCAGCTGTACCACCTGATTTAGCGGAGCTGATTCGACAGTACCCGGACATCTTCCCCGACGATCTGCCACCTGGACTGCCACCCGAACACCCCGAGGACCACAAAATCCAGCTGGAGCCTGGCGCGCAGCCGACTGTTCGTACACAGTGGCGGTTGACCCAACCAGAACTCGAGGAGCTGCGACGACAAATTGAGGGACTGTTGGAGAAGGGGTTTATTCGACCCAGTACATCCCCCTTCGCAGCCCCGATCCTGTTCACGCCGAAAAAGGATGGCGGGCTTCGCATGTGTATCGACTATCGCGCGCTCAACCGGGTGACCATCAAATCTCGCTACCCGATCCCACGCACCGACGACCTCCTCGATCAACTTCGCGGCGCTCGCTACTTTTCGAAAATCGACTTGCGTGGCGGTTACCACCAGATTCGGGTCTTCGCCGACGACTGTCACAAGACCGTGTTTCGCACCTGCTACGGAAGCTACGAATTCACAGTGATGCCGTTCGGCCTCACAAACGCGCCTTCAACATTTCAACTGACCATGAACAGGATTTTCCGGGAATTTCTCGACAAGTGTGTCATCGTCTATTTGGACGACATTCTGATTTTTAGCAGGACAAGAGAACAACACCTCCACGACCTCGACGCAGTGTTTAAGCGGTTGCAGGAGAACCGCCTCTTCACCAAGGGCTCTAAGTGCGAGTTCTTTAAGCAGGAGTTGGAGTTTTTGGGGCACATCATCTCACGCGACGGCATCAAAATCGACCCGGCTAAAATCAAGACTATTCAGGAGTGGAAGTCCTCGACTAACATCACAGAACTTCAGAGTTTTCTGGGCTTCGTGAATTACGTCAGGCGGTTTATCCCGAATATGGCGGGGATAACCGGCCCGCTGACCGACCTGCTGCACAAGGACAGGAATTTCGTGTGGGGGGAGGAAGCTGAGGCGGCTTTTCAGGAGTTGAAGAATTTTCTCGTTTCCCCTCCGGTTTTGCGCATCGCCGACCCATCGAAGCCATTCGAAGTCGTCACCGACGCCTCAGATTTCGCCATCGGAGCTGTACTCCTCCAGGATTTTCGGGAACGAGTTGCAGCCGATCGCCTACGAGTCACGCAAACTGCAGGCAGCTGAGCGCAACTACCCGATTCACGACAAGGAGATGCTCGCCATAATACACGCGTTCAAACTGTGGCGTTGCTACTTGGTAGGCGCCGACGTCACTGTTCGCACGGACCACAAGTCCCTACAGTACCTGCGAGCTCAGCCCAACCTCAACCCGCGACAAATTCGGTGGCTGGACTACATGGAGAGTCATTTCACCTACCGCATCACGTACAAGAAAGGGGCGAATAACATCGCCGATGCCCTTACTCGACCGACAGTTCAATCCGCTGCAGTGCTCATCACCCATTCGAACCCGCTACTTACGGGACTATTCACCCACGGCTACACTACGGACATTTCGGGGTTGATAAAACCCAGAAGCTGTTGCACCGTCAATATTATTGGCCTGATTCTGCTAATGACGTGCAGCGATATGTGTCCTCATGCAGGGTGTGCCAAGCCATGAAATCGACACGTCAGCGGCCAGCTGGACTGCTGCAACCCCTCGAGCCACCCGAACGACCGTGACAACAGGTGACGATGGACTTCGTCACAGGGCTGCCAGCTGGGCCGTCCGGCAACGACGCGGTTCTCGTCGTCGTCGATCGCCTCACGAAGATGGCGCACTTCGCACCGTGTCGTACGACAATCACAGCCGAAGAAACTGCGCGCCTCTTCATCTTAACAGTCGTGCGACTGCACGGAATCCCCGCGGCGATCATCGGCGACAGGGACCCGAAGTTCACCTCGAAATTTTGGAAGGAGACGTGGGCGCAGTACGGCACGAAGCTACAGTTCTCATCGGCATACCACCCGCAAACGGACGGCCAGACCGAGCGCACCAATCAGACTATGGAGCAGCTGATCAGGACAAACTGCTCGGACCCCACTCGCTGGGAAAACTCGCTCGCCATGCTGGAGTTTGCGTTCAACAACGCCCCGTCCAGCACAACTAATCACTCCCCGTTCTTCTTAAATTACGGGATGGACCCGACGGTGCCTACAACGACTACACTCGACAACCTGGTCCCGAGGTCACAAACATTTGTGACGGAACTTCAGGAAGTTCGCGAAAAGGCTGCGGACACAATTCGCAAGGCGAATACCACTTCCCGTAAATACACCGACCTTCTACGACGGGAACTCGTCTTGGCAGCTGGGCAACTAGTGCTACTTGACACGAAGAACCTGCACCTGCCCGGCCCATCGAAACTACGGCCACGATTTTGTGGGCCTTTCAAGATCATGAAGATGGTGACACCTGTCACCGCGAAGCTGCTGCTACCCGACGATTGGCGTATACATGATGCCTTCCATGTCAGCCTCCTTCGCAAGTTCGTGCCTGCCACGACGGACATCGCGCGCCAGAACGCCGCCCCGACAGCCCGACCTGTCCCAGAACCGACGCTTGACCCGTCCAAGATTTTGGCGCATCGTGTTCGGCTCGACGCTTCTGGACGCCACGTGGATTTTTTAATCCGCTGGACTGACCGCACCAGTGAGGACGACACTTGGGTGCCATCCGCCTCGCTTGAAGCTTCTCCGCTTCTTGGTGATTACCTCGCCCGCAGGCGAGCTGCGGATATTGACCACCTTTCTTAAAGGGGGGGGTAGTGTAAGGAAAAACCCTTTTCCTTACAGGGGTTGACTCAACCGCGTACAACCCCAACTTTCGGAAGTGCACGTTCGGCCACTTCGCTTGCTGCCGAAGCAACCTCGCGTCGCCTTCGGCCTTTCCTTTGCCCAACCTGCACCCAACCTCGTGTTCCCGAGGTTCCCGCCTAGCTAGGTTGGTCCACTATATTAGCGCGTGCCTTCATTGTATTGTCAGTTCATTGAGTCACATCTTCGTTATTCGTTATTCCGCGCACTCTCTTCGTTATTCGTTATTCCGCTCTCCCCGAACCTCTGACTTTGGCCAGTCTGCCTCTGCTTCGTCTGACGGCCTGGGAAGGACAGGTTCGGACCGGACCGGCCATCAAATGTCGCGGCACGAGAGTCTCTTTGGTTCCATGCTTGGTTCGGTGGGCGGTGACCATCAGCAGGATCGGCCGAAGCTGAGCCAGCGAATGGCTGCAGCAGCAGCTAGGGCTGCTGCGGTGGCAGCATCGGCGGCAGGGAACTTGAGCAGCAGTGCTGCTGCTGCAGCTGCAGGTGTGGGCGTTGACATTGGTGGTGGTACTGGCGGTGGTGGTGAAGACGAGTTTGGCGGGGAGAGGGATGGAAGGGTTAGTGTTGTTCAGGAGGATGAGTAAGCTGCCTAGGTTGGCAAGAGGTTGAGAAAGTAACGAAGATGCAGGAGTTGTGTGGGACAAAGGGGAAAGGGAGAGAAGGTGTGGGGAAGTGGGGAGTGAGGAAACGTGGAGGGTTGATTTCATGTGTTATAAATCGCTCTTGAATGACCCATGGATATGTATACTATGCTTTCACATAAACATGACTTCACAGTACTCACAATTGGAGTGCATGGAGCTTTGACATATATCCAGCTCTGTCTGTAAGGTTCCTACTCGTAGAATTTGAGCTAATCTGGGACAGGATATGGAATAACCTGATTTGGATCTCAATGTCCCATCAGGATTTTTTACAACTGCCATAGGTAAAGCCTTATCAACCTGAAGGAACAGGAAGTAAATAGGAGCATTTTCCTGACATCTTAGTATGAAAGTAACTACTTCTGTGATGCCTATCGACTTTTTCGCCACAGCTCATTTCTGGGGCGTTACGAACGTGTGACGAAGCTGGGAGCGTTTCGCGCAATGCTCTCGCCAAACACATGGTTCCTACGCGGACGCAAAAACACTACCACGTTGAGCTTCCATCCAACCCAACACAACCATCACAGTGCTTGGCGTGTGTTCCATTCCGTGCAGTTACCGCCGTGACAACTTTCTTCACTCAGTGTAACTGCACTGTTGGATTCGCTAGGGTTTTGCAAACAATTTGCGCAAGCTGTCGCCTATGGCGCGGTTCGTTGCTGGCCATATGGAAATGCGTGGGAGCTTCGAATCGCGATGTTGGAACATTCGCGGCTCCACCAACCACTAGCCCAGCAGCACCACTCCCACTCGCCTCCTGGAAAGGACAATCCCACTGGATTTTCGTCTCGTTCGCGCCTCGCATCCACACCTCCCTCCTCCCTCCCACGCAGTCCCTCACGTACCCGTCCTTTTTTGCATCTCCCCAACAGCCTCCCAAGCTGTTGGCAAAACTGTTCTGCTTCCTCTCCACGCCAACGTCTCACCTTTCTTTCCATCTCCTGTGTCGTCAACTCACATGTTGAACCCCCTCGCCCCACCCTCGTCCTTCGTTTGCGTTAGCCTTGCCCCATCCCCTTAGCACCCCTTTGCTTCGAGATCCCAGCTCTCCAGCGTCTCTGGCCAAACTCAGACTAACAAGAAATGCCTTTCTTGCGCGACGTTTCAATGTGTCACATTGGGTGATAGCGGTCGCTGTAGGTCCCGACATGGAGAGACGACGAAGCGTACTTTTGCTAATCGTCCTCCTCTTAAGCTTCCTCGCATCATGTAGTTCTGTGATATTCAACGACGATAAATACCCGTCCCTCGGCGTTAACGTATGCACCGCGCCGCGCCTAGTCAAATGTAGTCCAGCGTGCAACAGCACGTCGGGAACGGATGGCCATTACGTCGTGCCGTTCCCTCGCTGTACCGCTGCGAACTCGATAAAGAGCACGTCCAGCGTTTATTGCGGAGGTAATGCTATCAGCCGGATTCAGTGCTGCAAGCTGTGCGGAAACAGGACGACGTGCAATTTCTGGCAGCACCATATCCCGTGAGTCCCGCTGCCGCTACCTGCCCCGATTCCACACGTCTCAAAAGCTTGTAATCTTTCTTCCCTTTGTTATCCCACCTCCCGTTACCAGGCGTTTCACTCTAGCATCCCTCCGCACGCCATCAAGCACCTCCTCTCCACGTCGCACGAATTTCCCCTTACACCTCCCCTGAAACTCCTCTTCCGCGCGCCCTCACCTCCCCATCCTCGCCTCCCCTTACCCGGCACTCCCACACTCTTCCCCTCGCCAATCCTTTTCCTGCTCATCATTTCACTCCCCTCCCCACTGCCCCTACCTTTCCCACCCCTTCCCCCCCACTCTCACTCTCGACGCATCCCCATGCCGTTCCGTCTCCGCTCGTTCCGCGCGCGCGTGCCATTCCAGGCCCAATCCCGCGTGCGTCGGCTGCGGCGCGTGCTACATCTACCCTGCGGCAGCGCCTCCTCCCACGTGCGCCGCCACCAACATCTCTTACAACGGCGTCATGCGACTCAACGCCAATGCCTCCACGTGCGTACCTTTCTCTCCCTCTCTCATAGCCCCTTTCTCTTATGTGCCTCTCTGTTATTCCAAAAAAAAATCGCGTCAAAACATATTTTCTTGCCACAATCCCCAACAGAAAATGTGAGTCGTCTCTTCTTTATTACTATTGTTCTCCGCAACCCCCGGCAGGCTTGGGAAGCCATGCGCAGAAGGCAAGGACGACCCGCACTTCCGCGGCGGCCATGGCACGCGCTTCGAGTTCAACGGTCTTCCCGATAGGACCTTCTGCCTGTTGACGGACCACAATCTCCACGTCAACATGCGCATGCGCGGCTATTACGACACGCGCACCGTGGGCGCTTCGATTCTTAAGAACGGTCTCGCGATCCGCACGTGGATTAGGGAGCTCGGGATCATGTGGGTGGACGCCAAGACGCGGCGAAGCCACTCGTTTCGGATTCTGGCTCGCGACGGGAAGGATACGGCGAGAGGGAAGGGGTTTCTGAAGGAGATCGAGTATGGCGGGCGAATGCTGCCCCTGCTGAAGGTGAGAGGAACGCGGGTTGGAGAGATGAGAGAGGAGTGGAGAGGGGTGGAGAGGAGGGACAAGTGGTGTTGTGAAGTGCTCCTGTCTCGTGCGCGCTGCACGGGAGAGAGTTGCATGTCAGCCCCCCCTCTCGGGCAGCAACCACGGGAGAGTTACAAGCAACTCACCCGGAATTCTCAAGCAGGGAAAACCGTGTCCCTGAACATCTATCCCCCACTATAACTGCCTGCCCCCCAACACCTGCCCCCTTCCCTTTCCTTCCCCTTTCTTTCCCCATCTCCTCACTCGTTCCCCCATCCATCCCCCAACCCCTCCCCCCGCTCCGGAACCCGAACCGCAGCTCGGCGGGCGGTACGCGCTGGACGGCGGGCTGAGCTTCTCCTTCGATGCTTACGAGTCGCAGGGCGGCGGTTACTTCGACGTGGACGCGTACCACCTCGAGATTGCCGACCTTCTCGACCTTGATATAAAACTTCGCGTCGCGCACCCGCTGCTGCAGACGCCCGACGACGCGCAGGCGCACATCAACGTGCAGTTCCTGCAGGTGCTCGGCACTCCCGAGGTTCACGGGATCGTCGGGCAGACGTACCGCGACGGCCGCGAGAAGCGCACGGTTACATTTGCGGAGCTCGCGGAACTCACGGGGAGGCCCATCGCGGCGGACGGGGAGGAAGGGAAGGGGTTTCTAGACGGCGATGTGATTGATTACACTACGTCCGGGGTTCTACGAGCGGATTGCCGCTACACCGCGTTCAGCGGGGAGAGACGGCCGCACACCGCGGCGGATATCTTGCTCCGGCGCGCTGCGGCGGCCGGCGCAGCGGCTGTGGGTGGAAAGAGGAACGCAGGGCCGGCAGCGAGTCAATCGGCAGCAGCAGCAGCAGCGGCAGCAGCAGCAGTCAAGGCAGCGACGCCGGCGGCGGCGGCGGCGGTGGCAGCGAGGAAAACTGCCGCTCAAGCCATTCAAAAACGGCCACAACCGGATTTGAAGTCTGCTGCTGCAAGTTCTGCTGCTCAAGCTGCTTCTGCTGTTGCTGTGGCTGCTGCTGCGGCTGCTGCTGCTGTTGCACGCAATGTTAGAAGCGCCGCCACCTTGCTACAGCAGCAGCAGCAGCAGCCTTCAGTGGTTCGGGCTGTAGCAATGGCTGTAGCTGGCACAGGTCCTGCTACAACAGCCACTATTGCCCCCTCTGTCAAGCCCCCGGTTTCTCAAAGACCAGTTCTCCAACGTCTCCCCGTTGCAGCGGTTCGTGTGGATGTGAGAGCCAGTGCGGTCACTGCAACACGCCACATCCTGGATCGGCGGAGTAGCCCGAAGCAACCAGCAATCCGGCCGACTATCCAGCGTGCTGCTGCTGCAGCTGCTGCTCGTGGCACCCCGCCGATTGCCAAGCCTGCTGCTGCCGACGCCGGTGTTGCTGCCGGTAGTGCTGGTGCTGCTGCTGCTGCTACCGCAGCAGCTGTGTTAGCACCATCTGCACCTAAAGGTGGTGCTGCTGGTGGCACTCCGCCGATTGCCAAGCCTGCTGCTGCCGGAGCCGGTGTTGCTGCTGGTGCTGGTCGTGCTGGTGCTGGTGTTGCCATTCTAGCTGCTCCGGTTCCAGCCATGGGTGGGGGTGCGACTATCAACAGAACGCCTACTGTCAAATCGGTGGTTACTGAGAGACGTGTGGGCAATTTGTTGAGAATACCTGGGCCCACTGGTCAGCCCGGCAGGAAAGCGGCAGGGTTGATAGGAGTGGGGGCCGGTTTGGTGGTTATGCCGCAAGAACGAGGAGCAAGAAGTGCAGTGGTGCGACCAGGAGGAGAGAGACCAGTGGCGCCAGTGCAAAGAAGGGCAGGAGGAGCTGCAGCAGGAACGGCTACAGGAGGACCAACAGCAGGAAAAGGAACAGGAACAGCAGGAGGAGGAGCAGCAGAATAACATGAGCGTAAGAGCAGCAGAGCAACTACGCAGTAGCAAGGGGGATCAGCAATATGAGAAGGAATATCAAGTGGAGTGAAAAAAGCTCTGCCGAATAACAAAGGGCCGACGTGTGCCTTGGCAGCTTGCAGAGGCTGCGAGAGACAGAGAGAGCTAGAGCAGCAGCAGCTGATGCTATGCGGCTGCTCCTGCAAATAACAGCAGGAGGGATGCTACAGCTTTCGAAGCATGCATACAAGGAGAGAAAATGGTTTTTTAGGTTTGAGCTAACTGCTTGTATACCCTCCTTGCTGAGCTCTGCTATAGCAACCGGAGCATACCTGTTACCTCCACAGGAAGCGCCGGTTGTCTTGTGTTATATTGCATGTTCCATAGCTGTTATTTTCCTTGGCTCCCATTCATTGTTCAATTCCTATATTGAACCATTCATAGCACGCCTTGATCTCCAACCCACATATATTTGATGATCTATTTTTTGTTACGATTACCTGGTATAATCTCTAAGCAATTGGCAGTACATCTACTTCAGCCTTCACTGTTGTAAGGATTTATAAATCTTTACTGCAGCACTCGTTAGCGAGGAGTCCATCCCGAGGGTTTTTGAGCCTCACGTTCGGCCTACAACTCCGCACCCAAACCTCAGCGAGCCGCCTCTGCACCAATCGCAACCTTTCGAGCCAGCCATTCCCGACCTCCCCGCCTAGCTAGGTTTTCCCCTATTTAAACCCGCTACTTCCCTTCTATCATTCAGTATTCTACATTCTCGTTATTCGTTAATCTGCGCACTCTGCATGTTCATTCGTAACAGCTGTGCAATTTGATAACCACATGCTAAAAAACTTGACGTACACCAATAGGCAACAGAAACAGAGGCAACATACTGTATACGATATCCTTGCCGCACGACTTAGGATTCCATCCGGACCATTCATTCAGACACAATGCTCCATTATCAACATCCTATGGATACGACACAAGTCTCTTCCTTCCCCGTCCAATATGTACGGTAAGTCCTTTTATTCAGAGTCCTCGTCTGCCCGCAACATGGGTGTGCCCTCCCCTCCCTGCCCATGTGCGCCTGAGCCTGGAGCTGTCGCGCTGAGCTCACTCGCTCCTGTCTGACGGAAACGGCCGAGCATCAGACCAGGAGAGACGGAGGGAGGGAGGGAGGGAGGGGAGGGGGCGAGAAAGGGAAGAGGAGGGAGGGGGAAAGGGAAGGGGAGGGAGGGGGAAAGGGAAGGGGAGAGAGGGGAGGGGGGTAGGGAGGGAGAAAGGGAAGGGGAGGGAGGGGGGGAGGGAGGGAGGGAGGGGGGGAGGGAGGGAGGGAGGGAGGGAGGGAGGGAGGGAGGGAGGGAGGGAGGGAGGGAGGGAGGGAGGGAGGGAGGAGAGGGATTAGCAGAGACGATGCAGGCAGGCGGGTAGAGGGAGAATGTGGAAAAATGGCAAGAGGCAAGAAGGATAAAGAGAAGGGATGGATGAGGGATGCGGGGCGGAAGGTGTGTATGGGACTCGAGACGCAAGCAGAGGCGAGGTGGCAGAGCAGAGGTTTCAATGAGTGCTTATGAGACGTCTGAAAACATGAGTGAAGGGTTAGTGGTGTATGCGATACACTAGAGGAGAATGGGAACATTATCTTAGTGGCAAGGGCAGGGAGCGGCAGCAGCAAGGGAGCGGAGCAGCAGCAGCAGGGCACGGAGCAGCAGCAGCGGCGGCACACGGAGCAGCAGCAGGAGCGCACCATGCTATGTGTGCACCCAGCCAGGCGGGCAGCAAGGGAGCGCAGGCGGAGGCATGACAGTAAACTGGTTTTGAAACGTCTCAAAACCAGCAGAATAGCAGCAGATAGGAACGCACCATGCTCGATGTGCATGACCCGGTACCCAGAAAGCCTAAATTTTTAGTCAACTCAAAAATAGGAACGCACCATGCTCTGTGTGAACGGCCCGGTAGCCAGCTAGGCGGGCAGCCAGCGAGCGCAGGCGGAGGCGCGACGAGAGCAGCAGCAGCACGAGAGGCAGGAGCGTGAGAGCAGCCGCCAGCGCCAGCACCGACGCTGAGGGCACCGTCAGATGAACCAGATCCGAGAAGTCCCTCCCCTTCCCCTCTCCTCCAAACCCATCGCCGCTGCCGCCGCTGCTTGCACCTGCGCCCCCCTGTGCGTTGCCCCCTTCTGTGGTCCCCTCCTCCCATCGGCCTTGCTTCTGGCCCTGTGCCTGCCCCTGCGGGTGACTGCTGCCTGTGGTGCTGCCTGCTGTGCTGCCTGTGCTGCTGCCTGTGAAGAGAGAACAGTCAGCGGAGGCAAAGAGGCGGTCACAGATGCACGTGCCGGTCGCCACGTTGCATGTACCCGACCCACTGGGAGAGGAGGGGAACGAGAGGGGGAAGGGAAGCAGGGTAGAGTGCAGGGAGGCAAGGGAAGGGAATCAGGGCACTTACACACACCATCTAGCAACGAAGTAGCAACGAATTCGTCCCACAACAAACAAACCCCTCCTTCACAACACCCCCCTCTACCCCCCGACCACCAAACACAACCACCACCGCCAAATCATCCTCACCTGCAGTCATTCAGACACAGCTTCGGCACAGCCAGCACTTATGAGAACTCCCAGAGGTGATTCCATCAACCACCCAGGACGGTTCCCTCCCTATGCCTTCCTCACCTGCAGTCATTCGGACACAGCTTCGGCACAGCCAGCAGCCTCCTCCTGCCCTCCCTCGCCTCCACCGGCTCCCTTTGCCCCGCAGCCAGCACCCAGAACCGCCCTCCTGCCGACAGCCCCAGCACCTCAGGCTGCTCCTGGAGAAACGCCTTGGCGGGAGGGAGAGCGAACGCCCCTGACGTGACAGCCATGGCTTGGTAGGAGACGGTGTGCGTGCCGGCGGGGAGGAAGGGGAAGGCGAAGCGCACGTGGGAGGGGCGCGTGGTGCGGGAGTGCCAGGGCGCCCACCAGAGGGACCAGAGGGACGTGGGGTTGCTGTCAGGGGTGGTTTGCCTGGAAGGAGGGTTGGGGGAACAGGCAGACAGCGGGGGAAGGGGATGGGAGAGGGTAGGAAGGAAGGGGGAGCAGGTTAAGAGGAGGTAGGGGCGTGTGGTGCGGGAATGCCAGGGCGCCCACCAGAGGGACCAGAGGAACGTGGGGTTGCTGTCAGGGGTGGTTTGCCTGGAAGGGGGAGGGTGTGAGGAAAGGGAGGCAACGGGGGAAGGGGATGGGAGCGGAGAGGGAGGGGGATTGGGGGTTAGTGGAGGGAGGGGCGTGTGGTGCAGCCGTGCCAGGGGGCTCACCACCAAAGGGAAGAGGAGAGGGGGAGGGGGAAAGTGATTCGAACAGAAGTGAAGGAGAGACATCGGGGTGTTAGCAGAAGGAGGGGCGTGTGAGGGAGGAAGGTGAGAGTGGAATCGGCAGGGTGAAACTTGAAGGCAAACGCTGGAACAACAGATGGAGAGGCAGGGAAGATGGAATGGCATGGCATGGCATGGCACGGGATGGCATGGCATGCGATGGCATGGCATGGCACGGGATGACATTGCATGGCAGGGCATGGCATGGGCGCACTGTTGCGAGGGCAGGTCGGGGTCGAGGGGTTCGAGGCCGGCTGGTGGGAGGTCGAGGATGACGAGGTTGCGAGCATCGTCTGGTGTTGTCACCTGGATGGTCACCGTCACCACCACTCCCACTGGCGCCTGGTGGCGTGCGGAGGGGGACATGAGGTTGGGAGGAGGGGGCGTGAACGAGAAGGGAGGGCGGAGGAGGGGGAAAGAGTGAGTTGGGAGCAGGAAAGCAGGAACAGGAAGAAAGGTGGGGAGGATGAGCAGGCAAGCTTTGCCATCCTTAATGGTGCAAGATGCAGGGATGGGGATGTGATGGTGATGTCATTCTTCTCTGGTTAGTTGTTTGGACAGATGGGGGATGCGTGGGGCGAAGAATGCCGACGGGAGGTTAGTGGTTGGTAACACGCGAGCATGACGGAGAATGCCTAGGGTAGGGAGGCGTGGGAGAGAAAGGGTAGAAAGGAAAGGTACAGTAACGAAACAAAACAGGTTGCAGAAAGCAAGCAAGAAAGAGGGGCACAGGAACCGTACAGAGGAAGTGGGAGTGGAAGATGGCATTTGCAGCAGAGGAGCTGCTGTGTCCACGGAAGCAGCGGCGGCGGCAGGTGCTTTGAAGGAGAACATCTTTTCGACATAGAGGCCTCGGTAAGTGGGGAAGGGGAGAATGCTGCCTGGGATGAACGACAGTGCCACTGATACCGACACCTGAGGGGGGGTGGGATGGGATGGGATGGGATGGGCGGATGGAAGAGGAGCAGAGTGGACGGGACGGTAGGGGAAGGAAGGAACAGGAAGAGGGGGAGGAGACAGAGGGTGAGGAGGATGGGCAAGGGAACAAACAGTGGAGAGCAGTGCAGTGGAGTAGAGAGTCGATAGGGGAGGGACGAGCGGGCAGGGCGGATGGTTGAAAACAAGGTGGGGGGAGGGCGCTACCTCGCCTGTGCCCTGTGCGTCAATGAGCAGAGAGGAAGGGACGCGGCCAGCAGCAGTGGCCCACGGTACAGATGCAAACACAGCCGCTCCTGCTCCCGCTCCTGCTCCTGCAGCTGCTGCTGATTGCGCATCAAGCCCAGATGGAGAGAACACGTGCGAGAGAATGGTGGTGGCAGTGGTGGCAGCAGCACCAGCTGCTTCCCCACTCCCATCAGAACCAGCAGCGGCAGCACCAGCGGCAGTGGAGATGGGAGCAGAGGAGACAGTGAGGGCGAGGTGAGGGGCTGTGCTGCCGCGCTGCATGTCGTAGCGTGTGAGGGCGAGCGCAGAGAGAGCGTGCTCTGCCCATGCGCCATACGCTGTTGCAGACGCGCGGTCTGTGCCGGCCACGTGGTTGGCTAGCTTCTCCACCAGCGGCGAGTCACAGCCCGTCTGCAAACGTAGAGGCAAGGCAAGGGGCAGGGGCAGGGGCAGGGGCAGGGGCAGGGGCAGGGGCAGGGGCAGGGGCAGGGGCAGGGGCAGGGGCAGGGGCAGCAGCAGGGACAAGAGCATGTGTAAGGGCAACAGCAAGGGCAAGGGCGAAGGCTTCGCAAAGACATGTGGAATGGATAAGGATTGGGAGGGGTTCTGATAAACGGGGAGAGTGGGAAGGTGGGGCAAACAAGAAGAGATATGATATTCATTTGAGTGTGGGCTGCTTACCTTGGTAACTATCTCGTCCTATGATAGTTACACCCCAGCACGCACCACAAAGCACCACACCTCACCACACCCCGCAGACCTCCACCGCACCAGACACGCAACCGGACCACACAGCACCCATCGCACCTCCACAAGCAGGAGCAGAGCGAGCGCACTGGCAGTCCCCCCGGCCGAGAAAGGCGAGCCGGCAGCAGCAGTGACATACGCTGTCCGACCCAGCACCCTCATGCTGTTGAGCGTCCATGTCATCGCCAATCCCACCGCCTCTGCTGCTTCTGACTCTGCCCCCTCCCCTCCACCTGCTCCTGCGCCTACATGCCCGCTGCTGCTGCTGGCTTGAAGGAGAGTGGCAGGGTCTTGGTGGTCCTCTTTTGCTTCTAAGACGAAGGCCAGCGCTGCGCAGAGCTTGCCGAGAGGAGAGAGGCTGGCAAAGCGGTGCTTGAGGGACGTGAAGAGGAGAGGGGAGATGCGGGCAGCTGTGGACGGAAGGGAGGGAGGGAGTGGGAGGGGAAAGAGGGGAAGCAGTTAGTGGGAGGAGCACAGAAGGGGGGATACGGTGGTGTTAGTTGGGGATGGATGGATACACGTGCCCATGCGCACGCAGATACACACGCGTGTGCGTACGCACTTGATCAAATGCACGCATGTGCATATAGGACCACCACACTCGCATCCTCTCAGCAAGAGCACCAACCTTGAGCAAGCGAGGGCCAGCAAGCGAGGGCCGGGACGCGCCGAGGCCCAGCCAGAGGTAAGGAACGAGCTCCCAATCAAAGCAGAGCAGCCAGCGAAACTATTTCTGAGGCGCCTAAATAACACAGGACTAAGACACACACACACACAGATCCTCTCAGCAAGGAGCACCAACCTTGAGCAAGAGGAGGCGGGGACGTGCCGAGGCCCAGCCAGAGGTACGGAACGAGTTCCCAGTCAAAGTAGAGCAGGCGGCGAGACGATGGTGAACCAACACCCTCCTCTGGCGCAACCCACGCTGGCTCCGGCATAGCTCCTCCAATCTCCACACCCACCGCCCCTCCCATCTCCCCTCCTATCGCCCCTGCCATTCCCCCTCCTACGGCCCCTCCCACCTCTCCTCCCCATGCTGACTTGCCCATAACGGCTTCTCCAATAGCAGCCTCCTTGCCTTCCCATCCCCTCCCTGCCTTTCCCTCAAACCCCACAGTCCCGATCACACTGCTCTCCATACCCTCTGCTTCTCCCGCCTCTCCTTCCAAGGACTCAGCAGTTGCTGCTGACTCTCCCTCTTCACCCTCCTCCTCTTCCTCCCTCTCCTCTGCTGGATCATCAACAGGAACAGCTCGAGCCACAGCAACAGCAGGCCTGGGTTCACCAGGAATCACTTCGCCCTCGGGAACACGAGCCCAGAGCAGGCGGCGATGCACAAAGGCAGAGGAGAGGACAGCAGAAGCAGACGATGACGATACCACAGAGTCTCCCAACTCCCTACCCTCCAAATCCTGCTTCTGCTTCTGCTTCTGCTGCTGCTGCATCTCCTCATCCTCGTCCTTCCCCTCGCCCTCGCCCTCACCAACCTCCTCCTCGTCCACAATCCCTTCCTCCTCCTTCCGCTTCCTCTCCTGCCTCTCTTCCGCCTCCACCTCTCGACTCATCTGCTCCTTGGCACGCCTCTCCATCTCACCCAGGACCCCCTCCAAAGCAGCCCTCCATTTGCCAGTCACGGATTTGGGGATGGGGGATGCGTTCAAAAGGGAGAGGTAGCGTGACACCATGATGCCATAGGCGTTGAGACGGATATCGGTGTATCGGTTGGGGGTGGGTGAGAAGGGATCATCCACAAGGCCTGCAGGGGGGTGGATGCGGGTGGAGGAGAGAAGGGATGGTAGGTAGGCACGCCGCACAGTGTGACAGGAAAGGAGACTAACTTGATTGCGGTGTCACAACGAGAGATCACCAGAACGAGAGGGGAACGTACCACAGCATTGCAGCATGTACGATTGCAAGCGCGCTCGAGACAAAGCATCAGCACTCCTCGAGGTGACTTTTGAGTCGACTCAAAAGAGGGGAACGTACCACAGCATTGAAGCGTGTACGATTGCAAGCGCGCTCGAGCCAAAGCATCAGCGCTCCTCGCTTCACTCAACACCACACTCCCTCCCCCTGCAGCCCCCCCACCAGCACCCCCTGCTGCCGAAAACAGCGACTTGAAAGCCGACCACGCCGACTGAGCCGAGGAGGAGGGTGACGTGGCGGAGTCGTATTGGTGGAGGAGTGCGGAGGGGAGGAGCGACCAGAGGAGGTGCGTGGCGGAGGGGAATGGCTGGTCGGCCCAGGTGTTGAAGTGCAGCAGCGAGGAGGAGAGCTGCAGCACTGCTGGCAGGCGCCCAACTCTGGGGGTGGCGGCAGATGGTGCAGGGCGGAATGGGGAAGACAGGGAGAGATTGGAGAGCAAATTGAGAAAGGAGGGTCAGGGGAGAAAGGGGGCGCATTTGTGGTTACATGTTAGGAGTGTGTAAGATGAACGCAGGCAAAGGGAGACATTTGACAGGTTTAAACGGTCGACTGGCTGGAGGGAAAGAACTGCAGCAAGGATACTAGTCCAGGACTAGTAAGATCATATGATATGGCATGTTAACAAAGAGAACATCACTGCAGACATGATACTCACCCTGCAGTGACGTACAGCTGGGCGCTCCCTAGGAGAACATCACTGGGCAGAGCGATCTTTTGAGGCGCCTCAAAATACACCTCAAAGCACGCAGAGAGCAAAGAGCATGGCATGATACTCACCCTGCAGTGACGTTCAGCTGGGCGCTCCCTGGGAGAACATCACTGGGCAGAGCGATCTGCTCCTGCCACTGCCCTGCTAGTCCCTCAAAGCCCCCCGGCTGTGCATCCCCACTAGCGGCAGCAGCAGCAGCAGCAGCAGACTTGGAGACGGGTGCATGGCCCTGCACGGCAACACTGCTTGCCACTGTCACGGCCTCCTGCACTCCCTCCACTTGCAGTGGCACCACCAGCACTGGCGGAGGAGAACGGTGGGGGCAGGGCGGGGCATGGGGACACAGGATGAGTAAGACGCGCTACAGGAGAGTAAGACGCGCTACAGGAGAGTAAGACGCGCTACAGGAGAGTAAGACGCGCTACAGCCCACGAACTGCTGCAATTGGAGATAGGAGGTCGTACGATGGATCAAGACAGAGAAACATGAAACGTGAAGGACATGTATGAGGCACGGAGGCAGGGAAACGGGACTGACGACACTAAGGTCCCCCATCCAGCCACACACACGCAGAAGGATACTGGGCTGTGCAGGGAAGAGTGTAGGAGGAGGGAGGGGGTAGGGGCCAAGGCGAAGCTTGGTAAGACCATCAAGAGGGAGGCCGGGTGAACTGCACAGTGAAGGAAGGAAGTTGCTTTTTGAGACGTCTACAGAATCAAGTTCTTTCACACGCGGTTAAGCTTGGCAATGCAATACCGTACCATCAGGAGGAAGACCGGGTGACTGCACTGTGAAGGAGAGAGCGATGCCCCCCACCACTGATGCTTCCATGTTGAACCGCACCTGCCCAGATCATAGATTGCACATTGGTTGCACACACACGAGCGCACACACACAACACAAACGAACACACACACACGCATAAACGGGAGCAGCACATTGGTTGTGTGGATAAGGAATGCAGGGTGGAGGCAATAAGAGATGAGGGAGGGAGGACTCTGTTCTATGGATGGACAGAAAAAGAGGAAGGGGAGGGCAGTGGGGCAGAGGGAAGGCAGCACAGGAGAAAAAGGGATTCAGTATCAGCGAGGTGATTACAGAAATGCAAGTGGGAATCGGACTGAGTGGGAGTAAAAGCAGGTGGAGGAGGTAGCGAGAGCAGGTGGGCTTGGGAGCAGGAGCGGAACTGGAAGGGGAGAGCAAGGAAGGGGAGACGGAAGAAGGAAAATTCCCCGATAGATAGATCTTAGAGCATACCTCCAAAGGGCCTGTCGGGAAGACCGTGTCGTCTTTCTCATTCAATCCCACCACCTGCACCACTCCCCTCCTGCCACTCATTGCATCCCCACTCCCATCAGCAGGGTCCGTCAACACAGGTGCCACCACAGCAACAGCCACAGTCACAGACATCCCCACACCCGTCCCCTCTTCCATCCCCCGTCCCTCTTTGCCACCATCCGCAGCCCCTGCTCCTCCTGCTTGCCCTGCTCCTCCTCTCCCTGCCGCTGCCTCCAGTATCGTATCAGCCAGGGTTCGATCGAGATTGACCGTGACGCCTGCTGTGAATCTATCCCCTGCTCGCACCATGCGGGGCACAGATGGGACCAGGGCGAGTGGGCGAGACGCTACTAGCTCCGTCTCCGCTGCTCCGAACCTGCTGCTAGCTCCGGTGACAGCGTAGGCTCGGAGAACGAACGTGGAGATGGAGTCAGGGAGGCGGAACCGGAAGGTAGCAGTGGCAACACGGGAAGAGGAAGAGGTGGTGGTGATGGGTGCGGTGGCAGTGCGACAGAGCGGAGTGATGGTGAAATTATTGCGTTTCTTGGCAAGAGCTAGTGCTGAGCCACCAACACCAGCACCAGCACCAGCAGCAGCACCACCATCAAGTGAACCACCCATGTCGTTCGCCATCTCGGCAGATGCAGACTCGCGTTCATCCATAGCGGCCATTTTAGGCATGGCTGCTCGCATCATCATCACACCGTTGTTCCCTGCAGCACCTCCGGCAGCAAAGGACGAGACAGCAGCAGCACCTACTCGAGAGACCGAGTCCATTGCCATAGCAGTGGCCATGGCAAAGCCTCGCTTGCCTCGGCCCCTGCCGTACCTGCCGTACAGCATCGGGCCATCAGCGTCGGATCCTGCAAGGCAGGGGAGGGTGGAATGGACCAGAGAGGCAGAGAGGAGCAGAGAGACATGGAGTGAAGTGAAGTTTATCAGCTGCACTTGGTGTAAAGCGGAGACGGACAGACACGGGGTAGGAAGCAAGCAGGTGAGCTGCCAGCGGTTATCTACCATTACATTCATCAATATTTGTACTCATGTGGACAAACATAAGCACAAGGCAGGATGAGCCACGAGCCGGGTACCTTGGGTGAAGTTATCAGCGATGGAGTTGAAGCAGAGCTCATGAGAGGAGGGCAAGCCGCCTGTTGCACCCATCCACCACTGCGAGCGGCCACTGCTGCCCATCCAATCAGACGGCCTGCACACACCACCGGTGAGTGGGACACACAGCAGCAGCAAGCAGCAGCAGAGCAGCAGCAGTGGCGGTGGCAGGGGCGAAAGCACAGATAATGGGGTGTGGATGAGCTTTTGTGGTTGTCGATACGAATCCAATCAGGGAATGTGGTGTGGTAAGCTCGAGTGGGAAGGAAAGGGGTAAGAGGGGAGAGGAGGGGAGGAAGGAAAGGGAAGAAGCCGGTGGGGAGTGTTTACGAAGGATAGCAGCAGTGAGGCAAAGCACCGCCACTTACTGCAGCCAGGGGTTCTTGTTGCGCCTGCGGCGATATGCCTGTGCGAGGGCGTGGATAGCAGAGGGGTTGAGCATGGCATCGTGCGATAACACCGCCAGGGAGGGCGATGCGTAGAACTGCGACACTGGGTTGAACTCGGCTGTGGGGTCCGACAGAGCGTGCGGCATCTGGTGCAGGCGAGGCGGGCGGGATGGGAGAGGAGAGGACAGTCAGAAAGGAAAGCGGGAGGAAGTGAGGTGGCTTTTTGATCGGCTCAGAAATCGTCTCTTTTGAGTCGACTCAGAACTGGGACACCGGGTTGAGCTCGCCTGTGGGGTCCGACAAGAGGGTGCGGCATCTGGTGCAGGCGAGGCGGGCGGGAGGAGGCAAGGGAGAGGACAGACAGCAAGGCAAACGTGCTAGGGGTGAAAAGGCACGGATGGGGGAGGGAGGTTGTGAAGGCATGTATATATGTGTGGGAGGCTATGTTGGGAAAGTTCGAACAAAACGCGTCACTCCAACCCAACAACTCCTAGACCAGCAGCACCTGCACTGCACTGCACGCCCAACAATGACATTCTTCGGTTCAACTAGGAATGGCCATTGGCCGTATGAGACTCATGCATTGCATGCCTCACCACCACACATGACAAGCGCCATGTGTCATGGCCACGTCACTCAAGAGATACTCATGCCCTGCAATAGACAACGGCCGCACCGCATGGACATGTCAGCCCGGCCATGTCAGTCTTGACGACATCAGCCTCATGTGTTTCACGGCACGTGCTGGTTCGAGTCAGAGACTCACCAGGCCAAGGAAGGCCTTGTCGACAACAACCAGCAGCACCTGTGCATACTGCACACATACAGCAATGGACAATGGCCACGCCATACAACTAGGCCCCTCCCCTCTTGTGCCACTCATGGCATGTATGCAATGCACCCTGCTCTGATCCTCCGACTCACCAGGTCGAGGAAGGCCTTGTCGACTGCCACCAGCAGCACCTGCACGTCCTGCCAAGGGCAATGGCCATGCAACCATGCATGTCCGTCTTGTGTGGCTCCTGGCATGTATGGCCCACGGCATGTACTTGCTCTGATCCACCGACTCACCAGGTCAAGGAAGGCCTTGTCGACTGCCACGAGCAGCACCTGCACGTCTGTGTCTGGCACGGGTGCGTGGCCCTGGGGAGTACCGTCCAGCCCTGTCACCCGCACTGCTACTTCCACCTCGCTGCCCGCTGATACATGGCCTGAGGGTGCACCCTGGATTACAGGGGTTGAAGGGGGGGAGACGATAAGCAGGGCTGGTGTGCGGTGCGGTTCAAGGAGGTTTTCAGGTTCAGAGTTCACAGAGTGGAATGCGGGCCAAGGTGCGGTGTGGGAAGAAGCTGTGGAAAGAGGGGGTAACGAGGGATGACTAAGGGAAGAAAGAGGGGATTTTGGAAAAGGAGGGGGAAAGATGCACAGAACCAAGCAGAACTGGGGGTGGTGGGTGAGGGGCACGAGAAAGAGGTGGATGTGGGGGGCGAGGGGGGAGGAGTTGGGGGGGGGGGGGGGGGGGGGTCCGAGTCCCACCATGGGAGAGGAAGGAACGGAACTTACAATGTCAAGCAAGAGGCGAGGAGGCGGCGTGGGCGTGACGCGGAGAGTCAGATGCAGCGTGAACGACGACGGCCCTGCAAGGTCAGCAATCACCGTAGTGGGAACCTTCTCAGCTGCACTTCCCTGCAGAGGATGCGAGGCCTGGCGAGGCGACACCACCACCACAGTCACCGCACACCCTGGCGGCCCACTCCCAGGAGCCTTTGCGCTTCCAGATACCCTCCCCCCACCACACTTGTCATCTACAACCACTGGAAGCTCCACCATTCCTCTCGCCAGCCCGCTGTGCAGCTCGCGCCACACCTCGGCCTTTGCTCCCTGGCCTGCTGTCACCTGCACGAGGGCCGATGCCCCCTCGTATGGGTTTTCGAATCGGAGCGTGGCTGTTTCGCCCAGCAGGTAGGATGGCTTGTTGAAGGAGGCGGTGGGTGGGGGGAGGGAGAAGAGCGGACAGGCCTGCCACTCCTGGGGAGGTGAGATTCGGAAGGGAGGGGGGGGGGAGGTGTGGGAGACGGGAAGTGGGGTGGGAAGGCGGGATAGGAGGGATTGGATGAGAATAAATAGGGAACGGGAGGACAAACAACATCCAGAATTAGGGAAAGGCAAAGCGGGGAAGTAAGAAGTGAGAATGATGGGAATGAGCGGAGAGGAGGGGATGGTGGGGAGGACGAAGCAGCAGAGAGGAGAGCGAACCTGGAGGGTTCTGCCAATGCGTCTAGAGGTGCACGCCTTAGTCCCCTCATGGTCCGTGATGCATGCGAGAAGCCGAGCCCGCCCCACATCCGGCAGTACAAACCCGCACCCAGATACCACCTCCCCCACCCCTGCCGCCCCTGCTGCTTCTCCTGCAGTACCAGTGCCTGCAGAAGCAGTGTCCAAGCTCGCAGTGGAGGATAGAGTGACGTTGCAGGAGGAGACCTTGTGCTCTTTCCATGAGACAACCGCTCCTGAGGCGTCTGTCACAGTGCGATTCAGCACCAGCGACAGCGTCACAACGGAAGGAGCAGACCCCCCCGCACCACCACCACCAGTGCTGGTGCTCGTGGAAGCAGCACCACCACCAGGGGCAGCAAGCCGCGCTGGCATGTCCGAAACAGCAACATCGCCACCATACCCCACAACATCATCGTCCATTCCCCCAGCAGCAGCAGCAGGGTCGAGCAGAGAGAAGAGGCGCGCAGAGGCGTGGAAAGGCTGACCCGGGACAGGGTCGCGCACAGAGAGAGATACGCGCGTGGACCAGGAAGTGAGGGCGACTGGGAGGGTTGTGGCGTCTGAGAGAAGCTCCCTGGTGGGTCCTACCCACTCTGCTGTGAGTGAGAGTGACCCCACCTGGAGAGGGCGTGGGGGGATGGGGGATTGAGGGGGGAAAAGGAGGGAGCAGGGTGGGGAGGAGAAGGGAGAGAATAAGGGGACGGATGTGAAGGGAGGTGGGGTGAGAAAGGGATTTGCTGAGATTTTGAAGAGCAAGTGGAAACAAGAAGGGAAAGAATGAAACGCCCAGAGCTGGAGGTTTATGCGATGGGAAAGGGGGGAAAGGGGGGGTTGGTGTTGCACTGTAAGGATGTGAAGCGAGTGGGGTGGGCAGACAAGGAACGAGGGGGAGGAGTCAGCAGCACTGTAGCGTGGTGTATGTATGCACTGCACAGAGCCCCACCCACCCACCTGTGTCCTGGTGGGTTCAGCGAGGGCAGCATCGATATCCAGTACTGCCACCCCCACGCCGCTGCTGTTGGTACGCACAACCACCACTCCCGACTCACACACCCGGCTCACAAACCGATTCCCCCGCACATACCCACTCCCCGCCTCCTTCGCCCCTCCTTTCCCACTTCCACCCCTACACTCCGCCGCCTTTCCCTCCCCCGCTCCTCCTCCCTCTGACGAAACAGACTCACTCCCTCCTCCTCCTCCTCCTCCTCCTCCTCCTCCACCTCTTCCTCCTCCCCACCATCGGGACATCGTCCATCCAGGGTCCTCTCCCCCGTCCTCCTCAGCCCTTTCATAAGCAAACTGCCACGACACCTTCACCTCTTCTCCTGCCACAGGGCCCCCTATGTACGTACATGTGGAAACCACCACCTCCACCCCTCGACCAATCCTCGCCACAGCATCAGAGCTGGAGAGAGAGAGAGTCACAGTGGGCGGCCGGGGGTCGCTGATTTGGAAAGAAGAGTATCCGTCTACCCACATGTTGTTTCCGTTTCCCTGCTGGGCTAGCTCCAGTTGGAGAGAGGCGGAGCCGGTATCGGCGGTGGTAGAGAGCGGGATGTCTGCTTGGAACGTGCCGAATTGCGGGTGGATGGTGATGGGGATGCTCTTGGGGGTTTCGGAGTTGGGGAGGCTGCAGCTTAGGACCAGACGGACGGATGGCTTGGGAAGGAGGAGCTGCGTGAAGGGGGTGAGGAGGATGGGAGAGCAGGAGAGTGTGGGAGGGGGGAGGAGGGAAGTATAGAGAGTAGAGGCAGGATGGGTTTGAAGCAGGGGCAAGCAGAAGCAAAACACTCGAACGAGAAGCGATAGCAAAGAAACAAGAGGGCTTCAGAGAAACGGCACGAGGAAGGCAGTGGGAAGGGAAGGAGAGATTCGCACGTTGCCGTCAGGGCCAGGCTGTCTGAGAACGCCAAAGACATGCACGCACGGTGTCCCCACAGCAGTATGAGAGAGCGATACAGCACTAGCAACGCGTGCAGTGCAGTGCTGAGGGGAGCTTTGAGTCGACAAGAAAGAAACACACCTTGCCGTCAGGGCCAGGCTGTCTGAGAACGCCAAAGACATGCACGGTGTCCCCAGGGCGGTACAGCGAGCGATCCAGCACTAGCGACCCATGCAGAGGGGACTGTGACGAGGAAGACTCGGAGGAGTCAAAGCCTCCGCATTGTAGATTGAAGTCTGGGAGCAGCATGAGACGCTGGGACGAGGAGGAGGAGGATGAGGCGGAGGAGGAAGGGGAGGAGCGGGAGGAGTAGGCAACTGAAGCCTGTACTGATGCTCTGCCGCAGAACTCTGGAGGAACAGCTGCAAGGGAGAAGGTTTTGAAGAGAGCCATGAGCCGAAGTGGGAGAAAGGACGTGGGGAAGGGAGAATGGACAGGGGATGGGAAGCAAGGGCCAGGGAGAGGGGGAGAAAAAGACGAGGGGTTCTTCTCAGGAAAGGGGCTCAACAGGATGAGATGCACAGACAGATGCGTGCAGGCAGTGTGACATTGTAGCAGCGAGAAACAGCGATGGTAGTGCAAGGATTATGCTCAAGCCTTCAATCTCACAAGGCAGCACCAAACAAGAGAAGAGTGAAGGAACTAGCCAACAAAAGGGAACAAGGCACAGGAGGGATCCCTGAAAAATCAGTAGGGTTTATGATAGTATGCTATGATAGTAGTACCAGGAAGAGCCAGCAGCACAATGCCGGATTTGTCGGTCTTGCCCGTGACTGTATCCAACGCCACTGGATTGCTGCCACTATCGGCCTGGCAGGTGGGGAATACACACCAACAGGCATGCACGAGGTATGAGCGTAGCCTTGCATTGTATGTGTGCAGGTGCGCAGCCGTGCGGTGCCCTCTCATGCATGGAGGAAAGCAAGGCCTGCAGAGATATTCTACCAGAGGTGGACAGGGGACGCGCAAAGGAAGCAGGTATGGCGAATGGCGACAACGAGCAAGCGCAGGGAGCGGCTTAATAAGGGAGCAGTATTTCTTCACCTTGTTGCTCTCAGACGGAAGCAAAGACACAGTGGCTCCCTCAACAGGGCTCGCGTCACTGAGCCATGTGACCCACACCACAGCATGCTTCTCCCCCGCCTGCAGCATCACTGCAGCAACTTCCGTTTCCGCTACCACCGCTGAAGGCTGCGACAGCTCCTGCACCCCACGCTTGCCACGCCTCTTCCGCCCCCCACCAAAGCGTCCAGGAGGAACATCCCCATACGCATCAGCAGCAGCAGCGTCAGGGTCAGTATCAGTGCTAATATCTCTGTCTGAGTGGATGCAACCGGAGCCACGGACGGCGAACATGCCGGATGGGGCGAGGAGGGAGGAGGCGTTGAGCGTGGGCGAGGAGAGGGAGAAGCCGCCCTGGGTGCTGTTGAAGTGGAAACGAGCACTGGAAGCAGAGGAAGTGCAGGGAGTCACAGCAAACGGGGACCAAGATGCTGACGAAGAGGAAGAGGCTTTCGTGCCCTGCTGCTGCCATGGCTCTGCTTCAGCTGCTGGGCCGGATGCAAGCCAGGGGACAGAGAGAGCAGCGGCGGCAGCAGAGGAAGCAGCGGAAGATGAGGAGAAGGGTGAGAAGAGCGAGGAGGAGGTCGAGGAGGCAGGGGTGGTGGAGACCGGGAGAGAGGTGACGGGCCAGGCGAGGGCAAGCGGAGGCGGCTTGTCTGAACCCAGGTACGGAGGAAGCTGCAGAAAGAGCGGCCAGAGCCTGTCCCACACTCCTGAGCTGCCAGAGATGTCACCGCCAGTGCTTGCGGTGGTGGTGGAGGCATCGAGGAGCACGAGGGAGCGGGGTGCTAAGGCGAGGAAGGGCTGTAGGGGCTCCGTGGTGATGGCGATGCGGGAGGCACGTAGAGGCAGGCCGAATCCGTCCCGCACTGATGGGCATGCAGCCACTGTGAGAGTCTGTGGCGAGTTGAATGGGGGGAGGGGGAGGGGGGGGGTAATGGGGATTGTGGGAGGATTTGGTTGGGAGACAAGAGGATGATGTTGTGCTTGTCTGTGAGAGTGTAGATACGTGTGAAAAGACGTGAAAGGTTGCGGAAATAGGGGAGAGAGGGGTGTTAGATGTGCGAAAAGTGGGCGGGTAGAAGCAGCATGCAGTTAAGCATTAAGAGCTGATCATGGAGGGGAAGTTATAGAATTTAGAGACACATACATATCGAGCATCTGGCTCTAATGGCGCAGAGAGAAGGAGAGAGCCGTTGGAAGGACGAGAAAGGTCAAACGCCACAGCTTCTGCACCAGCAGCACCAGCAGCAGCAGCGCCAGGTTTTGAGGCACCAGAGTGGAGCAGACTCAGACACGCCTTGAGATCTGAGATAGGAGAGAGCAGCCCGTGTGGTAACGGTAGGGTTATCCTGCGCGACACCATGCTGCATTGCACACCATGGAATGGAAGAGAACAGAGAGAAGGAGCAGGAAGGCAGCAAGCAGGCAGGCAGGCAGGCAGAGGGACAGACAGGGATACAGTGAGCCATGTGCTATGAGCAAGGAAGGGAGAGGTGCAAGCACTGTGTGAGAAATGGACGGGAAATTACCCAGAACAGGGTAATGCAAAGAATGAGATGGGAGGAGGTGGCGGTGCGGTCGGAGCTGGAGAATGAAATAGACAGAACACGCAACCACCAGAGCAGGGATGATGAGGAAGGATCTTCATCATCCCAGAAGCTCTTCAGTTCAGATCAACCCACCCACCCACCCACCCTCCTACCTGAGGGATGTGCCATCCTCCGATCCATCTGTTGTGATCCTAAACGGGTACGCGCCTCTCACTTCCACCACGAGCGGCTGCTTGAGAGGCCCCGCCTTGCCGTAGTACTTGCTTCCCCGGGGCATGACCACGTGGAAATCCGTGTCCGGAAGGAAAGGGCCCCACCCGGCAGTAGAAAGCTTGCTCAGACTGCTGCTGCTCAGGGATAGGCTGTCCTTGCTCCATTCTGCCTCCATGGCTGCTGCTACGGCTGCTTTTCCTGATGTTTCTGCACCGGTTGACGCGGTTGTGAAGGTCACGACTGCACAGCGATCGATTGTGCTGCTGGTGGTGCCAGTGGTGGCAGTGCTGGTGGTGGTGGAGTCAGCAGCAAGGGAGGCGACGGAGATGGAGGAGAAGGCATCCCAAGGGCACGGCTTGACGTGGGTGGTCACACCGGGGACCACCTTGTTGGCCTTGGTGCGTAGCTGTGAAGGGTGGTGTGGAAGCGGGGGAGGGGTTGGGGGAGAGAAGAGGGGGCAGGGCGGGCGGCAGAACGGGAAGATGTGGGAGATTTGTGAATTGGGGAGAAAAGGGGATTAATGGAGGAAGGAGGAAAACGGGAAGTCAAAGAAGTGGGGGGGGAAGGGGAAGGAGAAGGAAGGGAGCAGGGATAGTGTTTGAGGCACAGGGACTTGGCAGGGGAGAAACGGGGTTGCAGCAGCGTGGTGAAGAAAATGAGAAGCAGGGCGAATTACCTAAGGGGGTGCTGTGTCAGCACCTGTGGGAAGGAAGTAAGGTACCTGAATGAGGTTGGTGAGAAGGTTGATGTCAACGAGTGAAGAGAAGGAGAGGAGTAACCTGGCACAGCGAGGAGGAGAGACAGAGGGCGGGACAAGCGAGGGCAGGAGGAGCTTTGCGACGGCTCAAAATGGGTGGGGAGGAAGGAATTCAAGAGGGCAGGTGCAAGGGCAACCATTGACGAAAGGAACCCGAGCATGAGAAAAGAGAGGAAGCAAGAGAAACAAATGAACAAATGAAGATAAGCGATTCTCTAGGGCCGGGGTGAGGAGGGGAAGAAGTGGGTGGGTGGAAAGGCGGAGAGGAGGTGGGTGGGAGGGAGAGTTAAAGGGATGGGAAGCGCGCCGTGAAAGGATGTGGGATGCTCACTGTGCATCAGGGGGAGCTTCAGTTGGCGAATTGGAAGATGTCTGTGTAGACCAGGAGCCCTGGTGAGTGAGCGGGTGAGTGCGTAAGCAAGGGAGTGAGAAAGCGAGCAAGTAAGCGAGCGAGCGAGTGAGCCCAACACAGCAGGCAAGGCAGGATGAGAGCGGGCAAAGGGGGTGCGAAGGGAGAGGGTGAGGCTCGGGTGGCGTGGACTGTTGAGGCGACTCGAAACTCGGTGGAGTGGATCGCAGCAAGCGACGCAAAGAGGAAGGAAGATGAGGTGCTGCGTTGGCAAGGGGTCATACGGCATCATTGCAAGAGAGAGTGCATGCATGGATGGGATGGGATGGGATGGGATGGGATGGGATGGGATGGGATGGGATGGGATGGGATGGTGGTGGTCATGGTTGCACCGTGCAGGTGCATGAGTAGAGACTAGCACTGTATGTAGCAGGCCATTGCATTGCACATGAATGAACAAGCAGTCTGCCTGCCCTGCTTCAAGGAGCACTCCGCTCATCTGTCCCTCTGTCTCCCGTGCATGGCTCACCGTGGCAGCATAGGTCATGGGTGAGAAGACGATGTTGAGAGACATGGAGAGAGGGTCCGTGAGCAGTTGCAGGGCAGGAGGGGGGGATGACTCATCCCAGCTGCCGCAGGGAGGGATGGGGACCAACGCGTGGGGGGGGGTGCCATAGTCGGGTGAGAGAATAGAATCTCATGCATGAGGTGAGGAACATGGGAGGAGATCATTGGAGGAAATGAAAGAGTAGACCGACAGACGAATGCACAAGGGGTAAACGCGTCAAGAGGGAGGGAGGGAGGGAGGGAGGGAGGGAGGGAGGGAGGGAGGGAGGGAGGGAGGGAGGGAGGGAGGGAGGGAGGGAGGGAGGGAGGGAGGGAGGGAGGGAGGGAGGGAGGGAGGGAGGGCGGGAGGGAGGGAGGGAGGGAGGGAGGGAGGGAGGGAGGGAGGGAGGGAGGGCGGGAGGGAGGGAGGGGGGGAGGGAGGGAGGGAGGGAGGGAGGTAGGGAGGTAGGGAGCGAGGGAGGGAAGGAGGAAGGGAGGTAGAGATGGAGGGCAGAGGGCAGACCTGGTGCCATCAAAAGCTGAGAAGTTGGCATTCCAGGTGAGCGAGCAGGTGAGGTCCGAGGGCCACTCTTCCAGGGGGTCAAAGCGGAACACAAACGATGTCACCCTGCACTCACATACCCGCATGCCCACACAAGCCCGCACACATGCATACACACATGCCCCCCGCACATGCGAACATCAGTGCACACAAGCCGTCACACAGTGGCGAGACCAAAATTCACGAACTCGCGGATCGAACCCGTTCACATGGTAATGTCTATATGCACTCATACAAAAGTGCTGGCAGGCATGCAGAGGCAGGTAACCAGGCCAACAGACACAACATGGCTATTAAATAAGCACACCTGTACTGTTCACCTCCAATCCACTCCCCGTGTCCCCCAGCAAAATCCCCCTCTCTCTCTCACCATCTGGCTCGACCAGCAACACTGTCAACGCCTCTACACCCCAGCGAGAAGGGCAGCAGCGAAGGGGGCAGGCCCCACTGCAGCGCTGCTGCTCCTGCCGCCTGTGCTCTTCCCCCGACCTGAGACGCATCAAAGCCAAAGTCGCTGCCTAGGGCAATGACAGCGCGATTGAAGACCACCTGGTGGGGAGATGGGAACACGGAGGAGGGGTAAGGGCGGGTGGGGGGGTGTGTGAGGAATGGAGGCAGGAGACAGGTGAGGTGAGACTCAGGAGTGGTGGCATGGCTAATGGGAGCGCCAGCATGGGAGCACGTGCGCACGGGAGCATGGGAGTGGAGAAGCAGCAGCACCTGAATGGGGTCCGTGCCGCTGATTGTCGCGGAGGCAGCTGCAGCAGTACCTCCTGCCGCAGCGGCCCCTGATCCTCTCCGGGTTCTACCAGCAGATTCGGTCACCGCTGGCAGCACCGACAGCACCTTGAGAGGAAGCCGGCCTGCTTGCAGGGAGGGGGAGAGGGGGCGAAAAGATAAGTCGGACGGGGATATGGGAGAGTGAGTGAGTGAGTGAGATAGGTGATGGGTGAGGGGGGGAAGGCGCTACATACACACGTCCCCTGGCAGGGATCACTTTACGACGAGATCCGCGAGACTAGAGCACCGACTGGGACAAGAGCATAGCGGTAATGTTACAAGTCAAGCAAGCTTTCCCGCTTTAAGAATGTCGAGCTATACACCAATCTAAAAAGGATTCACCGGCTGGATTTTCTTCTTGGGATAGATAACTTCTGAATAACTTCTGAATGAGCTCATAGGCGAAACACGAGCCAGCGTTTGGTGGATGTGAGGTGTTTTATTTATTACCTTGAAAGAGGCCTCGAGGCGGCGAGCTCGAGGCGTCACCATTGGACGATGCCGCTATGACGAGGATGACGGTCGGTGCGAGGGAGGCGAGAGACAGCAGAATGGGGAGAAGCGCTGCGCGGAAGGACCGCACGGTCGAAAATCTCGCCATTCGGACGCGATAAAGTCTAGGAGGGATAGGAATGGGAACGACGAAACTGGAGTACTTTGCCACGTGACACGTGCCACGTGGCTACTACGACGGTGAAATCACAAGCTCACTTCCTCAGACTACTGGTGCCAGCTTGCACCCGTAAGTTCGGTATGGTACTCAGCACTACCCTTTCAACTATCACTGTACCATGTCGTAAGGGTGTATGCCACGACAAGAGCAACCGACACGTCACGGGAGCTACACTATCTTGGACACTCCTCGTTTCTCTCCTGGAAGAAATAATACTTGCTTCTTCCTAAGCATTCGGAAATCTTGCAGCCGAGCGTCAGACAGAACAGAAATCAGACCCAGCGATGGCTTGCGATGTGATGTGATTTCATATTCCACGCACAGCCTTCTGCTGCCATCGGCAAAAGGGAGCTTGTTAGGTACGGATTGCTCTTTTTGGCGAGCCTGATAGTTCCGGTTTTGAATAGCGATTGGGTGACTCTCAAGCCTACATCGGTGTTGCCCATACCGCTGTCGAGCTGCAAAAGAGTTACGGAACAGCTCCGGAAGCATCAGCCAATTGGCGAGGGCAAGACCAACAGCGATGGTTTGGGGTTGCATGACACGGCGAACGTCGCCTTCGAGGTTGTCGGCGGACTGAGGTGGACGAGCTTCGGAGAAAGTGGATTCAGTGTGGAAGATTTTTGTTCGTCACCTCTCCAATAACTTATCAGGGGGACTTGCGTTACTGGAATTGTCTAATCAGTCACTTGTTTTATTTATATATCAGCACAGATAACAAGGGAGAGTTGATTTGTCCTTCATAGATCAACCAGTTCAAATCATTCTACCGTAGTTGGGTTCTGTGTGAGACTCAAAATTGCTCTGCCTAAACAAGCAACATACTTAGCTTAAACCACACGATACAAAGCACCAAGTGCTGATTTCATCAACCAATGGATGCCTAACATGAGCTTCTTGATATCACAAACCAGAAACGAACCCCACCTGCTACAGAAGCCAAAACGATTCAGCAAGAGCATCAACCTTGGTAAAACAGGTCCTTCTTCCCCTCCATGCGTAGTTTCAGCCTAGTTCCAGCCTAGGACATAATCTAAGAATGCAACAATGAGAATCGAGAGCGGATAGAGCGCGAGAACGGGGAAGGCGAGCCAGGTCTGGAAGGTGCGTCGTGTGCCACCGAGAATGCCGACAATGAAGGTGTTAAGCAGGATGATCGTGACCTCTGCACTGAACTGCCACTTCAATGACCGGAAGTACACCAACGCAAGGAACGTGCCCAGACACCTGGTTGCATGGGGATGGGGTCAAGGGAGGGAAGTTGGGACCATGGATAGGGTGGGTCGAGGCATGTACTATCAGAAGCAGGTACGGTAGTAGAAGTTGTGTGGGGCATAGCCGCGAGCCCTTCTCGGAACTCGCATGGACGTAGCACCGTAAACTTGCGAGTACGAGGCCCCCGAAAGCCAGGAAGCCACGGGCTCAAAACAAGCAACAGCAACTCACATGGTGTTGTTCATGGAGATGGCGCCGTAGACCTGCGAGTAGGTGAGCGGAATTGCACGTGCCCTTCCCCATGGCAAAGACGGGGTTCAAAAGCCAGGAAGTCACGGGCCGAGGACAAGGTGTGTGTGTGTGACTCACATGGTGTTGTTCATGGAGATGGCGCCATAGACCTGCGAGTAGGTGAGCGAGATGGTGCGCTTGCGGCGCTTCATGGCAAAGATGAGGCACGAGATGAGCTCGCTCGCGTTGGACGCCAGCGGCGTCACCACAAACGCCACGAAGAACGGCGGGATGTGCGACGCCCTGCCGTGGCACCACATGACATGGCACGAGATGGCATGATATGGGGCACAAGGAGAAGCATTAGTAAAGGTAGGCGCGAAGATGCAGCCAACCAGGGAATGAGAAGAAGAGAGTGTGATGTAGTCATGAGGATGCGTGTAGGGCAAGCAGCAGATAGCATGGCACGGGCGTGTGGGACGAACCGAGACTTTGATTTGAAGGAAAGGGGAAGCATGAGAGTGTGAGGAAGTGTGGGGAGGTGTATGAGAGGAACTCACGCGGAGAAAGAGGTGATGGAATCGACAACAGGGTCAGCAAACACTGTCACTAGCAGCGCTCCCCCCACAATCTTAATAATGGCCTGCGAGCAAAAAAGGGAGAGAAGCAAGAACGGAGGTGAGTGGGGGGGAAAGAAGAAGGGGACACGGGAAGGGGATAAAATACAAGGAGCAAGGACGGAACCACACAAACGTGCACAAAACACACAGACACGCACACTTAAGCGCCTCAGCGCTCAGCCTCACCCTCAGAAGAAGGAAACGGATAGAAAGCTGCAAGCTCGGTTCGACCGACCTAACTAATCTGAGTAGAAAAATTCACTGAGTACTAGGCGAGAACACGTGTAGGTAAGCGTAGTAGTATTAAAAGGCAGATTACAGGTGGTTCACGCACACGTAAGCGCCTCAGCGCTCAGCCTCACCCTCAGCGTCAGGCTCAGCCGCCCAGCCACCCGCCCTGACGTGGCAGGAGTAGATCTTTGTGAGGTATGTGCTGGAGAGGTGGAGATTGCACGCCTTGGTGTGCATGGCGTGGCGCCTAGGCCTGCTGTAGAACTGATAGTGTGCATGTGCTGCTGACCTTTCACGGAAACGAATGACGCCACCTGAGAGCGTCTCAGGGAGCATCTGAGAACACCCGAGAGCACCTGAGAGCAGCCCGAAGGCAGGCGAACGCACCTGGCGGTGCATTTCAGCGGGGGTCTAGGGTGCTTCCCCGTGCCCACAACACACCAGCACACGCGCACACTCACACACGCACACATCAGCGCACGCACCTGGCGGTAAACCTCAACACAGGTCAATCTTTCAGTCGACTCAAACATCAGGCGGACGCGGACGCACCTGGCGGTAGATCTCAGCGGGGGTCTTGGGTGCTTCCTCGTCCTCATCATCGTCATCATCGTCGTCTCCCTCTGGTTCATCCAGAAGCGAGTCCTCTAGCCCCTCCAGATGCACCTTGGCCGTGTCCACATGCCCGTCTAATATGCTCTCCAGACTGGTGGTGATGTACGTGTATGTACAATGGACATACACATAGGCGGGCGGGTGCGCACATGCCACACACACACGCACAAGGGAAAAACAGCACAGACTTTCACTTGGACATGTGCACACACACGCATGCACACAGTTGCGCACACATGCGCGCGTGCGCGCGCGTGTGCGCACACACATATAACCAGAGACATGAATGGTGTGCCATGGCATAGCATGGGATGGATTGGAATGGAATGGAATGGAATGGCACGATGGGAAAGGATCAGAGCAGCATGCACGAGTTGGTGAGGAGATGAGATGTGCGTAAGCGACATATTGAGAGTCGTGAAACAGAGAGAAAGTGAGATGTGAACTGAGAGCAGATAGCGAATTAGTGAGAAAGTGAGATAGTGAGACAGTGAGACAGTGAGAAGCGAGAAGTGAGAAAGCAAGAGTTCGCAGGATCGTCGTCGCAGGGCTCACTTGGTGACCGACTGCCTGCGTGCGTGCTGCTTGCCTCCTCCCCCCCCTCCGAATTGCGCCATCCATCGCTCCATGCCATGTACAAACTCCTCCTGCTCGCCATGCACGCATGCCACCAGTCCATTAGAAGGGCACAGTCAGGGTGAGAGCACAGGGTGAGAGCACAGGGTGAGAGCACAGGGTGACAACCAACCAGGAGGCTCCAGGTGGTTCAGAAATACGTGAAATGTGGGGGTGGGGATGAGGGGGAAGGGAGGGTAGATAAGTGGAGGAGAGAGAGGGAGCGAGGGAGCACGTACCACGCCAATCTCGCCATCGGAGTTGCTGTCAAAGTCCCTCATCCACTCCTGGATCTCGTTCTCTGGTGGCACGTCGCCCTGCATTGCGTTGCATGGCGTTGTGGTAGTGCGGTGCATGGCGTTGTGGTAGTGCGGTGCATGGCGTTGTGGTATTGCGTTGCATGGCATTGCGGTATTGCGTTGCATGGCGTTGCGGTATTGCGTTGCATGGCGTTGCGGTATTGCGTTGCATGGCGTTGCGGTATTGCGTTGCATGGCGTTGCGGCATTGCGTTGCATGGCGTTGCGGTATTGCGTTGCATGGCGTTGTGTCCCATGTTGCGACGCAGTAGCAGCATCGAGAGCAGCCGAGGGAGGGGACAGAGGGAGGAGAGATGAAGAGCGGAGGGGAGACAGAGAGAGGAGAGGGAACGACGGGTGTGTGTGGATGCGAGAGGGCGCCATAAGAACCCAGAAGCAACTGCGAGTGGGTGCAGTGCAGCTACAGCTGGGTTATGAGAATTCTAGCAAAGCAAAACACTAGACAGTGAAGAAGCACGACGACAGAAACAACAGATACCCAACGCTCGAAATGTATTCTTGGGAATCCTGTTCCCATCCCACCGTCCCTACTCCACCTACCCCTGCTCCACACCCTCTTCCTCACACTCCCCCTCGCCCATCTCCCTCCCCCTCCCCCACTCCCTCTCCCTCCCCCTCCCTCCCTCCATCCCAACCCCCCCACCACACACACCTTGTTCTGGATCCCAAGGCCCAGAATGAGCCCTTTGATCTCGCTCCTAGACAGCGACCCGCTGCCGTCCTCGTCAAAGTGCCGGAACACCTTGTGCAGCGTGTCGCGGTCGGGGGAGCCGTCTGGGCGCACGAGGCCCCCCCAGGTGTTCCGCAGGGCGAGGTGGTGCAGGTCGCGGATGGCCATGGTGCGCAGGTAGTGCACTCGCGCGTACTGGATCTTGCTCGCCTGCAGCCAGGGCGACAGCACCTGGGGGAGGGAGGTGGGGGATGCGGGGGGGTTGTAGGGGTTGTGCAGGGGTTCAGGAAGGGGGAAGTCGGCGGAAGGGAGGGTGTGGTGTGGGAAACCCATGGCAAGTGGGAGATCTGTGTTGCAGGTGGGAGGAGGGGGTGCAGGTGGGAGGTGGGAGGTGGGAGGTGGTGCAGGTCGCGGATGGCCATGGTGCGCAGGTAGTGCACTCGCGCATACTGGATCTTGCTCGCCTGCAGCCAGGGCGACAGCACCTGGGGGTGTGGGAAGGGCGGGAGGGAGGAATGCACGAGGGGAACGGGGATTTGGAGAGAGGGGAGAGGGGCAGTGCATTGATGCGTACGGGCGGTATGCACTCGCGCGTACTGGACCTTGCTCGCCTGCAGCCAGGGCGACAGCACCTGGGGGAGGGAGGTGGGGGAAGGGAGCGGGAGGAAGGGAGAGGGAGCTGGAGGGTTGGATGGGTTGTGGAGGGTTCGGGAAGGGGGGAGTCGGTGGAAGGGAGGTCTGAGGAAGCCCATGGGAAACGAAGCCCATATCTGTGGTAGCCTGGTAGGAAGCGTGCATCTGATGCACGCTTGTGGCACACCTACTCCTCCCCACAAAGCCCCCCCAACCCCTCACCTGGTGATAGGCACCCGTTAACCACCGGTCCACCGCAATCCCCCACAATCCCCCCAAACCCCGCACCCGGTACGCACCTCCTTCCTCCCCCAATCCCCCCCTGCACCTGCAGCCCCCGCACCTGGTACGCGCAGTATGCCACAAGCCCCGCAAACGAGAGCAGCAGGCCGAGCAGAGCCGCAACGCGTGACTGCTGCTCGTAGTACTCGCCGCTCGCCCCGTCCATGAGCGGGAGGGACCTGCATGATGACGAACGGCACCACGCTGCCCATCATGATCCACGCGCCTAATCCCCCCAACCCACGCACCTGCTCTCCCCACAACCCCCCACCTGGTACCCACCCGCGCCCCCCCTAAACCCACGCACCTACTACCTCTCCTCCAAAACCCCTCACCTGGTATGCGCAGTAGGCAACAAGCCCTGCGAAAGACAGCAGCAGGCCGAGCAGAGCCGCAATGCGCGACTGCTGCTCGTAGTACTCGCCACTCGCGCCGTCCATGAGGGGGATCTGCATGATGACGAACGGCACCACCGACCCCATCATGATCCACGCGCCGATGCGCGTCTGCTCGTCCGTGGTCACGCCCGTCCTGAACCAGTTATACGGCCGCGTCAGCGTGCGATCCTTCGCCACCAGCACAAACGACCCACCCCCGCCCGCACCACCAGAAGCAGAATCACCAGCACCACTGCTGCTGCTGCTGTCGCGGCGGGTGGGTTTCTCGATGAGGTCGCAGCGGCCGCAGATGAGAGAGCCGCCCCAGGCGATGGTGAGGATCATGATGGTGCTGCCTGCCAGCACGCCCATTCCCACCAGCACCTGCTCCTGCGCCTCCTCCTTCGTTCCTCCCAGCCCTGACACCTGTGGGGTGGGGGGAGGAGAAGGTGAGGGGAGGTGGGGGAGGGGGTGAGGGGAGGTGGGGGTGGGGGTGAGGGGAGGTGGGGGAGGGAAAAACTTTGGGGACGAGGGGAGGAAGGTTATACTGCTCGCCGCCTTGCCTCCCTCATGCCACCGCTCCGGGTGTAACGAAGTTGAGTGGGAGGAGGAAAGGGGAAGGTGGGGGAAGAGGTGGCAACAAAAGCCCGTTTTCAAAGGAGGCGCCTTTGCAAATGCAAGAGGGAGAAGAGGGGGGTAAAAGAGCGCGAGAGCGCGCGAGGGGTGGGCGAGACAGCGCGAGAGGTGCGCGAGACAGCAGGAGGGTGGGCGAGACAGCGCGAGGGGTGAGCAAGGACGTACGAGGATGAGCAGTGTGTCGGGCAGAGCTCCCAGAATGGGCAACAGCAGGCCGCCTATCAGCCCCGGGTCGAGCACCTGCACACCCAGCCCAGCAGGCATGACGAGGGATGAACGCACAGGCGTGATAGATGAGCGAGAGTGGGAAACGACAGATAGTGCAATGCAAGTTGAACGAGAGTGCCTGTCTCCCTTTCACTCCTTCGTTTCCTCTGTATGTCCGTTTCTCCCCTTACTAGATCCCACTTGCTCCCTTAAGTTTCCTCCACTCTCTCCCTTTACTTCCCCCCAACACTCACCCCACTTTCCCCTCAACACTCACCCCACTTCCCCCAACTCTCTCCCCACTTTCCCCAAAATCTCACCCCACTTCCCCCCCAATTCTCACCCCCACTTTCCCCCAACTCTCTCCCCACTTTCCGCCAACTCTCTCCCCTTCCGCCTCCGCATCCCCCCCCCCCCTCCCGGCTCGCGCGCACCTGCAGAAGCAGCTCGGAGCCGTCGGAGATGAGCTGCGCGGCGACGAGCACGAGGTAGCCGTAGGCCGCCATGAGGAACATGCTGCCCGCCACGCTGCTGCTGCACGGCAGCAACCCGTAGATCTCCCTGCCGGGGGGGAGGGGAAGAGGGGTCGGGGGGGGGGGGGGGGAGGGAGGGGAGCGGGAAAAGGGGAAGGGGGATGGGGATGGGGGAGGGGGGAGAAGGGGACGCGGAAACGCGGGGGTTCCGGGGGGTGAGACCGGCGTGCGGAGGAGGAGGAGGAGAGGGGGGGGGAAAGGGGGGGGGTGTTGGTCAGGGTAGGCGACGAGCACGAGGTAGCCGTAGGCCGCCATGAGGAACATGCTGCCCGCCACGCTGCTGCTGCACGGCAGCAACCCGTAGATCTCCCCTGCCGGGGGGGAACAGGCGGGAGGGCGGAGGAGGGAGGGGGGAAGGACGGAGGAGGGGGGAGGAGTGGGGGGGAGGGGGGGTGGTGGGGGGGTTGAAGGGTGGACACGGAAACGCGGAGAAAAAGGGGGGGGGCGAGTAGGGGGGGAGCGAGTAGGGAGGGAGGCAAGGGGGGGGGAGGGAGAGGGAGAGGAAGGAGATAAGGGGGGTTGAGGTGGGGAGATGAGGGGATGGTGGGAGGTTTTCCAGGGGACCTATTGTTATGTCATGATTGGAAAGGGGAATGCGGGGTGTTGGGAGGAGAGGCGGGCGGCGGATGGGGAGAGGAGCGAAGACGGACGGAGCCCTAAAAGGATCAAGGCCGATGTGAAGCGACGCCTTGACATTCGTGTTATCTGTGGTATTAGGAACGACATACTCGCATGCTTCTTTCACTTCCGCCGAATCGCGTCCACGATGACCGGTCGTTGTCCCGTTCCCCCCAGCCAGAGGTGCAATGGCGGCGGAAACGCTGTCCCCCAGCAGTTCGCGGAGAACCTTCCGCGCAGAGCTGGGGAGACTGACATGCGCGGCGGAGGGGGACACTGCGGGGGCGATGCGGGGAGAATAACGCATTGCGGAAGAAAATGGGGAGTCAGCGGAAATGGGGGAATGGGGGGGATGGGGGGAATGAGGGGAATGAGTGGAGCATAGCGGACGAACGGATGCGAGATCCCGATCGCTCTGACATAATCCGTTCGCTGACATAAACTCCTCAACATTCTATCGGTTGATCCCGTGATTTCGTTTGTATTGGACCTTGAGATCGCGTCGCGGCCTCATGTTAATCAATGTGGCATTCAGGACACAACGAGACTCTCCATACTCCACAAAACAGCTTCACTACCAAGTTGCACCGCAAAATAGCGAGGTAAGACTCAATAGTTTGCATTCACTTCACTTCAGATACAGTGGCGGTTTTCGCGGATCGGTTATGAGAGCGCATACATGGCATGATCCGAAGACTTGCCGCATTCCCAACCCCCTCTGAATGCGAGTCAGCCGGTTAACGATCCACTTACTACATGCGGCTAAAAAGTTGTCGAGAAACGCTCACCTGCGAAAGTGGCGAAGGTAATGCAAGCGGCTGCGAGCAGCACCACAACCCCGACATGAACCTTCATCTTCGTTTTCAGCCGCATCGCCTTTTTCATGGGCCTTCTTTTAGTGCTACTACTTGTAGTAGTAGAACTTCGACGACACATGGCTGCCGCCACAGACAACCCCATAGTAGTTACCACTACCGCTGGCTACCTCGCTGCTAAAACCGTGTTCCGAAAGTAGCCTCTTTTTCCTTGCCTAGGACGCGGCCGGAAACTGAACTGTAAAGAATTTGCTGAGTTTGTGATAAAACCTAGGTGCAAGATGGCAATATGTAAAAAGACTCCGACTGGTGGTTTCACCTGATGTGGGATCCAAATCCAAAGAGGTTCACCACGGATACCGTGAGGAACCTAACTGAACCGCGTGAAAGAGACGCGGTCGGTTCAGGAAGTTATGTTTTCTCTCTTTGGATTGGAGCGAATCTGAACAGAAAGAGAGTGTCCAAAGCTCTGTGCTGCACGCGGGAAATGGACAGAACTGCACAGCAGGACAACTGTTGGTCCCGAAAGCGATTAAAAGAGATGGAATGGGATTTTCTGGAATCGGGTAGGGTTAGTGCAGATGGGCTTGGCTTACCTTCACTCATCGATTGTCCGCGTTTGTTCGTACAGTACATCTGGGAGAGTGTGCACTGTGCAGGACTGTGTCTGTTAAGGTCAACCCGGAGGCAGCATTCGTGGACCTTGTCCGGGGAGGTTAAAACTATATTTCTATAATTTCCTTTTCATGACACATAATTTTGAGGGTATTAAGACACCATGAGGATCAACTGACATGCCGCATACTGGAGTGGTGACAGTACGTCACATCAAACAAACGGGACAGGTAGGCAGGTTTCCTGAAAGCCGAAGTTTCGCAACGTGTAAGGGAAGCGAGCCTGAATAACCGCTTCTGATGGATCATCGAGTTTCCGATAAATGTTTGGCAACAATCCCGCCGTGACTTCAGCCGTTACGATTCTCCCTGTGAATGGATTTTGAGTGAACGTTACTGTAAGGATTCCCATACCCCGTCACTTGTTTCTGGTCGCGATCAAGGGCAAATACATGTGGAGTCCCATGAAGTCCCCCAAAAGTCCCATAGCCGCTGTATCCTTCTATTCAAAAATCATGTGCACAACTGTAATTGCCCGTCCTTGCTCAGAGTTGACAAACATTCCGATCAGATGCGCCGCCTCAGTCCAGACCGAAGTGTACAAATGTTCTCGTTTATAGTCCGACGGATCAACATCGCCGCGCGCGGACTATGTGCGAAAACCTTCAAACCCGAGGCAAAACGCGATACTTATAGTCCCGTTCAAGAAAATTGCATGAAGAGTGGTTGTTTTTCTACTATTTTCTGGATTTTGCATTTACGTAGATTTGGACCGCGCTTGCTTCAACTTCCAGTCGCACGGTTTTCCACGCTGATCAATGTCGCATGACTAACGGGCAAAACTAGACAAAATCAACAATGGTTTGGGGGTCGAATAGTAACCCAAAACTTTTTTAACCCTGTAATCGAAATAGATATGATGTCATCGTCGATCGCTCTTGAGACAGCGCGACAGGATTGAGAAAACGTCGCCGTCACGAGTAACGATCACATACCATCTAAAAGTTAAAACGTCGACTCGATGATCCATTTTTCATCATTTTCCTTGACTGCTGGGCTGGTTAGATATGGAGCCTCTGATTGGTTGCGGAGCTGATTCGTGCAATGATTCGGTCAAGCTGCCAAATTTCCCGCCAAAAAAGGGACTATAGAGACGGGCCAAGCCTAGGAGATATCGGAAAATTCTACTCAGGGGACAAAAGGGACTCTCTCAGCGAGGGACTCTAACCCAGAACACTTGTAAAAGGGTGCCTCGGGACAGGTGGGGCATGGACAGCTTGAGTTTCATATTAGCACTGTTCATCCCGTTGAAAGAGGACCAGCTGGCCAATCCCCTTCCACGTATGTCATCTTTGTCATCTCCTTTTTAAACCGTCCATCTGACAGTGTATAGGAAATTCGAGTGAACGGTTTGTCCAAACATCAAAGTATGTGGTTTACATTCTCAAAGAATGTTTTCTATCATGGATTTTAAAACCCGAGTCTAGAATGGCAAGTGTTTAAGTTCAAGATTCTTGAACATGATTTCGCCAGTGAACACGGTAACCCGCCTTTGTGTGGGGCTCTCTCTCGATCCACTGTGAGGGTGTTTGAAGCGCAGTATTCTGATTGGCCAAAAGCACAATATCAAAACCACTGTCGACACTCGCCAGAACAAACAAGAACCGGGGCAACTGTTCACACTTCCGGAAACTTGAAGCTACCTTTCTAGACTCGTTGAATAGTAAGCTCCGTATGTCGAAGTATATGCATGTCATATATGTGTAGGCTGTAGTGGGGTAGCCAATATGGGGTTCAGCCAGGGCTGACGTTTCATTTTAAGCCTCCCTGATTCCGGGGAAAATTTCCCCCCTCTATTATGGGTGCACATTTTCCAGAAAAGCACTACCCTGATTGCTCAGGGTTGTAAAGTAGTTAACACTGATTGTTCAGGGTCGAGAACTGGACATCAGAGTAGTAACGCGCGCTTTGTTACCGCGGAAAAAATTCCCACTCTCCATAAAGTCTGCGCGCTGTGTTTCCTGCTTGTTGTACACTCGACTGATTTGTGCAGGGCGGGTGTGATTGACCTATCTGGTGTGCGAGTGCAACGTTTCCCTGTCTTATTACCATGCCCAATCGGATCTCTTCAGCTGGCATGCATCAGACACGCTGCGACTGTAGTTAGTCACCCTCAGAGGCGTTCCTTTTGGAGCGAGTGTACTGACCGAACGGGCGAGTCACACCTGTTCGAGTCTAAGATTTCCGCTGTCAGAGTCTATTTCGACCAATCCCAGCAAAGTATATCTGACATTACAGATTCGCGCGATCTCGATGGTAGGTGCATCAGATCGAAGTTTCGAAGAAACTTCGTCTCGATAAAGCGGGAAGGGGGGGGGATTACGCATATGTGGGGGGATCACTGCGATCAATCCAAGGCGGGGTCATCGGAAAGAAACTTCCGAGAAACTTCTTCTCGATAAGTCAGGGTCCACACAGTCGATACTCTGTTAAGTCAGGGTCCACTAACAGCCTAGTCTGTTACACTGTACTCAAAATCAGGGATAGCTAAACTATTACTCTGATTGGATCAGGGCTGGAAATTCAATAACTCTGAAATTTCAGTCTCCACGAAGTGGAAAGCCTGAAATCACCTTGAAATCAGGGTAATTACCCTGATAAAATCAGCCCTGGGTTCAGCCCCTTTTAGGGTTTCATACTTGTACCCAACTCTTTCATAGTTGATTCATTCCGGTCTCTAGATTCTAACATGGTTTCAGAGCAGTAGGTCCGTAGGACCGTCTTTTTTTCGGGCCCACCTACCGCTACCCCACGACTGTGACGTGCTGCCTGCTGTCTACTGACTGCACGGTCTGCTCCTGCTTAGAGCGCGCAGACCTGATTCCTGCGCGCGGCCCGGTTTTTGCCCCGCGCATCGCCCAAGCTGCCCGAGTCGCGCCTCGGCAGCCCGCGCGCGGCTCGCTGCTGTTCCACGCGTCGCATTCGCAGCCCGTGCTGCTTGCTGCAGCCCCGCGCGTCGCGTCCACTGCCCGCGCGTCGCGTTGCAGCCCCGCGCGTCGCGTCCGATGCCCGCGCGTCGCGTTGCAGCCCCGCGCGCCGCGGCTGCCGTCCTCGCGCAGCTCGCTGCGGCTTCGCGCGCCGCGTCCGCAGCTCGCGTAACCCGCTGCAGCCCCGCGCGCCGCGACTGCCCCTGTTCGTCGCGGCGCCCCCCCCCCCCCTGGACGTCGCCCCGGCCTGTCGCGGCGCCCCCCCCCCTTGACGCCGCCACTGCCTGACTGCCGCCGTCGCTCCTTCAGCAGCTACCGCAGAGCACCCTGCCACGGTCGCGGCCCCGCCCTGCAGAAGCTGCCGCGGAGCCTCCTTCTGCTGTCGAGGCCCCAACCTGCAGCAGTCCTCGCGGCCCCGCCCTGCAGCAGTCCTCGCGGCCCCGCCCTGCAGCGGTCACGGCCCCGCCCTGCAGCAGTTGTCGCGGACCTGCTCTACCGCCGACGCGGCCCTGCTCTGCCACAGCTGTCGCGGCCCCGCCGTCGCCGCCGTCGTGCGCCTGCCCGGCCGCCGCCCGCCGAGCGCCGGCCCTGCTCGCCCGGCGAGCGCCTGCCCTTCCCGCCACTGGTGAGCACCTAACTTGTTCGCGCGCTGCCGCGTCATCTGCCTGCCTGTCTTCCTGCCTGCCTGCCTGCCTGCTTGCCTGCCGCACCTGCCCTGCCCGCGCTGCTACTGCTGCTACTACAACTACTTTTGTTACTGCTGCTAGGCTGCTGCTGCTGCTACTGCTGCTACTTCTTCTACTGCTGCTACTGGCGGTGGCCAGATGCAGCTCCAAGGACGTCCACGCGAGTCTCTCCCGCCCAAGCAGCTTCGTGAGTGGTACGCTAGTTGGGGTTGTGGCGGCAGCCGTCGTAGCTGTCGCCCTGGAGCTGGTCAATTGGGAGCGTCAGGCAGTGGCCAGCTGTAGCTGCAGCGGCGTCCACGCGAGTCACTTACGTCCCAGCAGCTTCACGAGTGGTACGATCAGAGTAGAGGGTCTCGGAGTACCGTTCGCTGCCCGTATATCATTCGCACAGGTGATCGGGCTGGTCAGGCTTGCTGGACGCTTGGTCACACACAGTCCCGCTGCTTCGCCCGTCTGAGCGACGCCTGGCGTACTGAGTTTGGCGACGAGGCTGAGCTCCCCACCTGGCTGGAGCTGCTTAGGCAGAGGGTAGATATCTTTGCTCTTGACTATGATGCTATTCTCACTGCCATGTATGCATTGCCTACTAGTGCTGACGGTGCCTGTTACCTGTGCGTACCGCCTGACCCAGGTATAGAGCCTGCTGCTCTAGGTCCTCGTGAGGCTGCTGCTCTGGGTGCTAGTGCGTCTCCTGCTCTAGGTACTGGTGAGGCTGCTGCTCTAGGTTCTAGTGCGTCTCCTGCTCTAGGTGCT